TAGTTATTTGTTTCATTTAGTTTTATTATTCCTATTATTTTTTTTGTTAAAATTATTATTATTCCTATTATTCATACGTAAGTTTTTTTTCATACTGTTAGAATTAATTTAATTATTATAATAGTAAAATGCACTATATTTAACATTATATATTACAATTTTATCTTTATATTGTTATCAAAATAGTTTTATTTCTATATAACAATTAGTTTACATCAATATAATATATTTGTTTCAAAATTTTAAGATTTTATTGTTTATGTTTTTCAAACTTAGATATTATAAAAAAAATTATAGATATCTCACTTCGTGCCTTGTGCGGATTACTACCTAGTATTATGTAATATGTTACACATCTAGTTAAAAAATTTGTGAAAAAAACTCCCAAGAACATTAAGCCATTTCATAATGATTTTTGGTTTTTGTTTTTAGTTTTTGATTTTTATATATACTTTTTAACTATAATATGGTCTGGTAAAATATTCATATTACCTAGATTTCTTTATATATAGATGATATAGATGAGTCAAATTTTCGTTACTCTAAAAAAATATGGATGTGGCTTCTAATCTATCAAGTCGATTGGCTAGTTATTTTCTTTTTTTGTTAAACATCAGTCGATTGACTAGATAAAAATTTTCTAAAAGGTGTTACAAAAAAAAAACCAAAATTTCTTGTATTTTTTTCCATATTTGATGATTTTTTTTTACATCGTTTTCTCTCGACTCAATTTTTGATTAAACAACAATTTGTTATATATGTACGAGATAATAAATCAACACTAAAACAACCTTAGTAGATTTTGATGTGTTAGAATTAAAAATTAGAATGGAGGGAACTAAAGTAGCCAAAACATTAATTTAAAGAGGAAAAAGAAACTCGAAGCCCTACATCTTAAACTATGTTAAAGACGATGAGTGAAGTGTAGGTTTTAGAGTCGATCAAAAATGCAACCTTAATCATAATCTTTAGGTGTTTGCCATCGTTTTCGGTAAATATTTACTCCGTACAAGAAGCCCTACTCCTTATCCACAAAATCAAGTGAAGCCGTCCAAAAGTACAGAAAAACATTGAGAATAAGGGACAACAAATCGAGTCGCAACAGGTAGTACTTTTCAGATTTGGTCCAGTTTTGTTTCTTGTATTCAAGAGAGCATTTGTGCTTTTTTCTTTGTTCTGAAAGATGTGTAAATCTCAGATGTTCTTACATTTTCTGCAATCTCTCTATCATTATCTTTAAACATCCATGCCCAACAAGACTCAATCATCATAATCTCTTGCTTCTTCTATTCATAAAGTTTGGGTTACACTCTCACATGAATAATCCTCGAACTCAAGTAATGGGATTATTAGCCCAAGGGACGGCCCAATAAAAGTAAAATGAGCTTATCCGGGTCGGGTCGGGTCGGGTCGGATCGATATCTCAAGAGAAACCCTCAGGCGACTAAAACCCCATCTCACTTCGTTTCCTTTAGTAAAGATCGATCCGTCTCTCTCCTCTGTGGCTCGAGCCATCTCTCCTTGTACAAGTCAAAATGGCGTCCGTTGCTCTCCGAAACCCTAGCTCTAAGCGTCTTCTTCCATTCTCTTCCCAGATCTACTCGCGTTGCGGTGGTTCTACTCCGTCGTCTCACTCGATCGCTCCGTCAGTCGTAAGAGATGATTTGTCTTCTTCAGGTTTCGGAACCTCCTGGTGGAGATCGATGGCCACTTTTAATCGAACGTGAGTTTCCAATTTTTGGTCCTTGGACTTTTATTTTGTTTTGCTCTAAAAACATTAAATTTGGTTGGAGCTTGCGCTAATGTGAGTGATTTTCTGCTTGTCGATTGCTGAATGAGTGGATTTGGTAGAGAAATGAGTTTCATTTGTCTCTCTTAACCTATGTTTATTGCTCTTGTGGCAGAAAACCTCATGTAAATGTTGGAACAATTGGTCATGTTGATCATGGGAAGACCACTTTAACTGCTGCAATCACAAAGGTTACATTTTTTTTTTGCTTTTTGTGGTATCTTTGGTACATGAAACTTCCTAATTATCGTCAAAGTATCTATGAAATGAAATAATTGCGAATCTTATAGGTTCTTGCTGAGGAGGGAAACGCTAAAGCTATTGCCTTTGATGAAATTGATAAAGCTCCTGAGGAGAAGAAGAGAGGAATTACTATTGCGACGGTCCGTATTATCTATCTTCTTGTCTCATTTTTGTCATTTCTAGTATTTTTTTACCTATTGTTACTTGGTTGTGTAGGCTCATGTGGAGTATGAAACTGCAAAGCGTCACTATGCTCATGTGGATTGCCCTGGGCACGCTGATTATGTTAAAGTAAGAATGCATCACAATCTTGTATATGTGAATTGTTTAGTGGGATTTTCTTTGAAATACTTTGATGAACACTTGAGCCTAAATGCTTCAGTTGCTAACTTTCAGAATATGATTACTGGAGCTGCACAAATGGATGGTGGAATTCTTGTGGTTTCAGGGCCAGATGGACCCATGCCCCAGACGAAGGAACATATTCTACTTGCCCGCCAGGTTCGCATCATTACAACCTGAACACTTGAAGCTACTCAAAACGAGGTATATATTGTAAGCTACAACTTTAAATATTCCACAGGTTGGCGTGCCATCACTTGTGTGCTTCCTGAACAAAGTTGATGTGGTTGATGATCCAGAGTTGTTGGAGCTTGTTGAGATGGAACTACGTGGTTTGTTGATTTTTTATTTCACATAATTTATTTCTTTCCAGCATATGAAGTACAAGCTTTCTGACATCTACTCTTGTCTCCGTCCAGAACTTCTCAGCTTCTACAAGTTTCCTGGGGATGACATTCCCATCATCCGAGGATCTGCTCTGTCTGCATTGCAGGGCACAAATGATGAAATTGGAAGGCAGGCTATTTTAAAGTTAATGGATGCTGTTGATGAATACATACCTGACCCTGTTCGTGTGCTTGACAAGGCATTCTTGATGCCAATTGAAGATGTTTTCTCGATTCAAGTATACTTATCTATATCCCTCGTTGATTTTTCCATTCACTCGTTTCTTTTCATTTATTTGAACAATCAGTTCTGATAGTTTTATTTTTCTTAAAGGGACGTGGAACTGTTGCAACTGGTCGTATTGAACAAGGAACTATTAAAGTGGGTGAAGAAGTTGAGATATTGGGTTTAAAAGACGTGAGTTTGCTTGGATATTGCGTTTATTCAGCCAAAGTGGTGATTACTCAAGGCTATTACGATTAAGCATTTTCTTTAAGCATAACTGTGAGATATGATTTTCAGGGACCTCCAATCAAATCAACAGTAACTGGGGTCGAGATGTTCAAGAAGATTTTGGATAATGGACAGGTAAAGGCAATACGGAGAGATCACAAAGACATGTTGTAGGCATGTATGATACTGATGAAACCTTGGCTTCCATTATGTTAGGCTGGTGATAATGTTGGACTTCTTCTGCGTGGGCTAAAGAGAGAAGACATTCAGCGTGGAATGGTAAGCTTAAGCATCCTTATTATGATTGCTGGATGACCGAATAAGAAGACCAAAATAGCAAAACCAACGTTACTGATGCTGTTTTTTTCTTTCTCTGTGGTTGCTTATTAGGTGATTGCTAAGCCTGGTTCATGCAAGACATACAAGAAGTTTGAAGCGGAGATCTACGTGCTCACAAAGGACGAAGGTGGACGTCACACTGCATTTTTCTCAAACTACAGGCCTCAGTTTTATTTGAGGACTGCAGATATCACTGGAAAAGTAGAATTACCAGAAAACGTGAAGATGGTTATGCCTGGTGACAACGTCACTGCAGTTTTCGAGCTAATCATGCCTGTCCCACTCGAACCAGGTCAATAATCTTACAGTTACACTACTTTTCTCTGCCTTCAAAAATTTCGATTTCTTGATTTTCTAACTTTTTTGCTCTTGTGAAAACAGGTCAAAGATTTGCCTTGAGGGAAGGAGGTAGAACAGTTGGAGCTGGTGTTGTATCAAAAGTGATGACTTGAGAGTTGTCAAAAGGCACATCCTTAGGTTTTCTCTAGGAACCCATCAATGATGTGATTTTTTTCTTTGTTTCGTTGCTTTGAGATTTCGAGTATATCAAATAACAGAGAGAGAACTCTTACGACTGAATATGATAAAGCCTATAAAACAAAGAGCTACTATCATTTCTTCATTATAGATTGAGATCTTCTTCGAACTTAACCTTATTTAAGTTTCCAACGAGAAAGATTTGCTGCTTTGTACGTGGTGAAACTTAAGAAAAAAATCCACTTTCAATATTGATTTTGAAATCTTCCAAGAAAATATACTTGTTTCACTCTACCCGTATTTTTCACTACTGAGTCATATTCCATTATCATATCAGACAAGTAAAAATAACAGAGTTCAATAAGAGTCTAAAACAGTAAGCAATACAGAGGAGAACAAGAAAGGATATAACGTGTATTTCTGGATTACAAGAAACATGTAGTTAGTAGTCGCGAATTTCTTCCAAAGGTCACAAAAAGAGGAAATCGTTTTCCTTAAAAATAAGCCAACATATCGATTTTTTTTTTTTTTTTTTTTTAAATATTGATTGTAGAGTAGAATCTCCGTTTTTGCTTGACCTTTTCCAATCCCTGCACCAAAACTTGCACTCTTGTTCATTGTTGCTCGTGGAATTTTGAAGTTGTATCCATCGATTTATAAGCGGGTTCTGATCCATTTCCAGACTTAGAGACCAAATTTGAAAAAGCTTGCACAGCTTCTCAACGATTTACCATGTATATGAACATAGTCTCTGTAACCATTGAAAGTCTAGAGGATAAGTTAATAATTGTATAGAGGCTACAAAGCAACTAGTATCTGAACTCTCCACGGCTTTTATTTCCAACTGTTTTCCCCTGACAAGGCAGCCTGGAGAAGTTTACTTACACGCAAGTTCTTGTGATACTGATAAAACCTTGTTATGTTTAGCCTAGTGATATAATGTTGGATTTCTGTTGCATGGGCTAAAGAGAGCAACAGCTTATGGTTACTGGATCATCAAAACTCTTCATCAAAACTGTTGACCTCAGGTACTACAACACAAACGCTTATCATCATCCTCACATTTACAAACTTAGTACTGAACAACTTTTAGTCATTTACAAACGACATTTCCAAGCTTTCCATGGAGTAGTAAATCAAAGATTTTAACCTTTCACCGCGAGTTTCTCAACATGCAAACCTAAGCGCAAACACCGCGATTACCGTGGCAGCTCTGAAGTAAACCTCCTTGATGCTTCTCTCCACATTGTTTATGATTTCTTGGTTCTTCAAATTTGAACAAGGCTTGTTTGCTTTCTTATTGACTTGAACAATCACCTCCCTGAGTCTATTCACAGCCCAAGACAGTATTACCAAACTCAAACCAAGTCCTGTGTCGAAGAACTTGTTTGCGCAAAAGGGTACACGTCTTGAAGCAAGGCTACAGACCACAGAGAAGAGCACAGCGATTCCAGTTCCAGCGGCGCTGATAGAAAACTGAGTAAGGAGCTCTGAAAGCTCTCCGCATGATCTCTGTAAAGAGAGTATTGTTGCTTGTTTGTGTTGAGGATCATTGCCTATCATCAAAGACAGAAGACTCTCGTAAGCGTGGAGATGGTTTCTTTTGTAGAGGTCACTCTCTTTAGCTTTTCGCTTCGTGTTTTGTTTCCTTGGTGAAGGCTTGAGCCTGGTTTTCTCAGGACTTGTTTCAATCAAAAACAGAATTCAAATATGAGAAAACTAACAACGCAAAAGCAAATAGTTATCGAAGCAAAAAAATATAAAAGAGAGAGTAGATTACCTCTTCAAAGGTGCTAGCACTGTGACTGCTTTCAGCTCAGCCGGTTCTAATACTTCAGTTTCAAACCTGCATAAATGAAATAGCAAAAACCTTTAGCATCCGAGAAACGAAACGCACACAAAGGAAAGTGAAGGCTGTGTAAGGAATCATACCACTGAAACTGCGGCACAAGCGGTGAGAGCTGTCTCCTTATTGTTGAATTCCTTGACAAATTGAACTCAGAAGCAATAGAAAGTATATCATTCAGCTCATGATTGCTACTTGAGGAAAACAGAACGTGGCCATTCGATTGCACAGAGAACTCTGGATTATCCACCATATCTCTAACGAGATCCAAAACCGGTTTTCCTAATTCTTGATTTAAGTACAGAACAGAGGAAGCACCATACGGTAGCAGCTGAGAACTTGATTTCATAGCCTCTAGCTCCATCAATTCAGATAACAGAGACATATCGAATCCTCTTTCCTTGAACTCCTCCGACCGAGACAGAAGAAACTCCATCACTTTCTCTTGTCTTGCATACTTCTCAGCGATTCCAAAGCTCAAAACCAGAGATTCTGGTGCCTTCTCTGTATCAACCATAAAAAGCAAGTTCATGTAAAATGGGGAAATCAATGACCGAAAAAAGTCCATTAACCAATATGAGAATTCATAAGCAATAGAGCTTACCATGAACATCCATGAGCAGAGGTTTCATCATGGCTGAGTCAATCTCCACGAATTGGTTAGGTTTGCTGAATGAACCAACCGGTTTCCATGGTTCCAAGTTTTGTGGATTCAGATTAAACGAGCTCGCAGGTATGATCTCCTGCCTCGTTGCAGGATTCACCAGATAAGACCGGCTATTCTGCATCATTCGTTTGACAATAAAAGAATCAAACAAAAGCCATTCGATTCCAACAAAGATGCAGACGTGAAACGCGAATCAAATATGATAATTTTACACGAACCCAGCTAAAATGAAGCACTCAAACTGTCAAATCCAACAAGATGAAGACGAAAGACATCAATTTTACACGAACCCAGATAGCTGAAGCAATCAATTTATCAAAATCCAATATGAAACTCAAAAGCGAGATGGGTCTATAGATGATCGTGAAAAAAATGGAGATTTCAATGATGAGAAGTAAATTAGTTACCTTGATGATTTCGGTGTTACTGAGCTCTTGAGGAAGACCAAGTCCAGGGATTTGATAGCCATGAGAAGTCATGAAGCAAAGCTTGATCATTTTGTTGTTGTTGAAGAGAGACCAAATTTCAATCCGGTCGAAGAAAAACTCGGTTCCTCTCTTTTCTTCTTCGTCAAAAATCCATGGGGGAAAGAAATAAGCAAAACTTATCGCTACGACTCACCTACGCCGCAGAAACGAGATTTAAGAATCTTCTCGATTTTGGCTGTGAGAGAAGAAGACAGTCGAATTTTGAAGATTTTTTTGAGGCCTAGATTTGTTCAACTAACCATAAAACGATACCCGTGTGAAATTATGTCGACCAAATAAACAAAACTATATCCTATTTCCTTAAATATATTTAGATTTTAACATCATTTATAAAAAAACTAATAAATGCATCATTTTTGTATTTTTCAGCTAGTTGACGAAAAATTTGATGAATTTGTCTAAGTTTTCTTAAAAATACGGTAATACTTTTTCGTTGAGTAGCTCGAAATCTTTTTTTGCACCCTTTTAAAGTTTGCTACATCGTTAGAAAAAACGGGTGATTTAATTGTGGGCAAAGTTAGAATCTTTGAGAAAGCTAACTAATACACACAGTTTAATAAATGTATGGAACAACAATTACATATCAAAAGGATCCAACTTTTTCCCCAATAACATCTACAACAACGAAGTAACTATCTTTTCTAACATTATCAATCAAAATTCCTGAACGGTTACAGTAACAACAAGAAACGAAACAGAGCGCTTTACATTAACCTGGGAGAGCCAGTGTGCTTGTTGGCTACAGGAGTAGCTGTAGCAGAGCTAGCTTCTGAGTTGTATCGGCTCGTAGCTTGAGAAGTCCTCTTGGTAGGTACAAGAGGATTGCTTTCTTCCTCATCGACTACTCGTGGTCGGTCAATGTCTTTGCCTTTGAAAACCGGATGCACGTAAGCATCCCTCAGGTATTCCTTGAGGTTTAGATTCGGTTCAGTCGCTTTTTCTAGTGTATCCTTCACCATTGCTTCCTGTTTAATGTAGCCAGCCCCAAAAATCAGTTTAGACAGTGATATTATAAGTATATTTGACAGATAGGGTGCAAGAGCTTTGACTCATCATCACCTGTAAGGGGAATCTTGAAAAGGCCGATTCAAACCGTCCTGCGCAGTATCTGTTAAACCAGATGGTCAAGATGGGCTGAGGCAGAAGCAGAGCTGTTGCTTTTGCAAGTTTCTTTGTGCTGAGCAAACCCATCATCAGAAGCTGTGATATTATTAGACATATGATCAATCTTCTATGCACGTCTGGCCAGTATCTAGCACCACTCTCATATTTCTGATCGTAGACATTTATAACCTTGCAAATAGTAGAGAAGACAGGATGAAGAAATTGAACATACTGCATGCAAACTTAAGAGGTACTATGATATCTTTAAGGTACCTGATGCCGGAAAACAACATAGGAAAAAGCAAAGAAGACGATAATGAATGGAAGAAGAATGGGCGCAACAGCAGCGTATACAAGACCCAGCAAGAAGTAGAACTGAATCCGAGGTTCAGATGTTGCAAAGTCCAGATGACCTGGATCCATTGCTTGCTGCCTGTCTTGTTCAGTCTTAACCAAAAAAGTGTTTTTCAGATGAAATATGACTAATGGAACCAGTCTGAGAATCTCGGCTGCAATGCCAGCCCAACCATCGACCATGATATAAGTGATGAAAAATGTGGCTTTCATTGGGATTGAAACACCAACTGTTTTCGGGATCCTAAGTAAAGAGAGAGAAAAGAGTTGAGATCAATCTTTTATGCGTTACCGGGTTAAAAAGATTTAAGCTTACTCCGTTGGTGGTTGCTCGAGGAAAGATTTAAGCTGCTGAAACGCTGTCCCGGTAATGATGCTTCCAAGAAAGACATTGACGATAATGAACCAGAAATACTTTTCCGCTGATCTTCTATCTAAATAAGAAAGTGATGTATATCCTTCAATTTGGGACATAGTCATCAGAATAGTTGGAAGTATGATTAGAAAAATCTTCAAGGCTATTCCCGGAAGAAATCCTTGGATTACAGACTTTACAGTCTTCCTGCATATGAACAAAAAGTGAATAGAATACATCAAAAATTACTAAGCAGTGGGATAAATGAAAGCATGAACGATCAAGTTCCAAGGCAACGATCAAGAACAAACTTCTGTTTACTATCGAGAAATGGGGATTTACATGTCAATTAGGGGCTTCAAGAAAGGGAGAACTTTTTGTATCCCTTCAAGGTTGGCAAGAGACTGAACGAATGCTATAGGAATCATGAAGCAGAAAATAAGAAAGAACAGTGCAACTGTTGTGATCAATCTTCTTATTGAGAGTTCAACATATGGAATAGCAAGATTATCCCAGAAAACATCGCGCGGTTCAGGAGCCCATTCTGTCAACCATATTGTGGGGTTATGGCATTGCTGCGTCTGAGCACAAACAGCTGTTCCCCACCGTGATTTGAAGGAAACAAACGCTGCCGGAACAATAGCCTTTGGATCGTTCATGATCTTTTCTCTTTCTGCGGCCTCCTGTGTATGTAAACATTTACAAAGGCACCTGATAAGCTTATGATAAACATGAAAATGTTTAAAGAAGACGTTTTGTAAATGTGAGTACATACTTTCTCGGCTAGATCCTCTATCTTGGAAGTATAAAAGTCAATTGCATCGACTGTAGTTCCCCAGAAGCCTCCATAACCTGTCTATATAATAAATTAAATAACTACTGAAGAGATTTGAAATCATGATAAGCAAGAAATGAAAAGAGTCATTTTACTAAAACATTGCAGGTGAGCTCTGTGGTCAAAGGGTCAAAATAGGCTTGCAACAGAGAGTACCTTTGTTGTTGGCCTATTTGAAGGCTTTCTCTCGTACTTATTCTCGTAGTAAGTCAACCAATTTTGCACAGCTTTTCGCTGTGCGACTAATTTTGCAAGGTCATTTGCATTGTACACTACCTGAAAACATCAAATCAGAAACGTCAAATAGTTTCTTTGACCTCTGTGTCAAACAAGGAATTGCAAATGTTCATAAACTTCAGCCAGCTAAAGAAAGATACCTGATGACAAAGATAATGATCTGGATGATTTACACAAAAGAAGTGCTCAACATGCTCGTTAACTGATTCATCAGGATCTGGAGGAACATTTCTCACAAGTACCTGCAAAAGCATAAATGCCAATACGTCGAACAAAAGTTAGGAGTAGCAAAAAGCAGGTCACCGCTGCAAACTAATCAGAATATAAAGACTCGGAGTATTGAAATGCAATCCATGTGATATATCTATCTGGTACGAGGAATGCAAAATGCTGCTCTCAGCTTATATGATCACTAAGAACCATTTTTCCTCAAGCATACACAGAACAATCATTATCAAATAGTTTATGCTTGCAAGATCTTTATTCAAAGCTGTATTGAGGAGCGGTGAAATTGGCAAGGAAAATAGAAGAAAGTCTCCACATAGCAGTACAGATAACTCAAAAAGATAGAATAACACACCGTGAGTTGATCAGGACGACGAGTTTCAGATGCTAGATGTCTCAGTCTCATAGTAGCCACAGTCTTGTATTCCATATATAGTGTGTAACAAGTCCAGATTGTGAACACGTATGTCATAGTTAAATGTGCCCAAAACCTGGAACCAAGAAACTTCCAGCCGTCTTAGTTGATAAAATAGAAAGCTGCACATACCATCACACACTTTGTAAACAAGAAAGCACTATTGCTAATACGTCAAGGGAAATCAAAGTCTTTTGTTCTGAATATGTTAACGAAACTGTCCATGACTTGCAGATAAACAAGTCCACCAGATATAAGTGTGGCAAGGTAGTAGTAACATATGCCCTGAACTGAAAGAAAGCACAATTGGATTACGTCTGTAATACCTCGGCGAACCTGGTGGAACATTCGATATTGACAACTTGTCGACGTTACTGAATGTCAAGTCATCGATTTTATCTAGCGTTTCACCTGTCCAATTGACAGGAACCAAAACTCCAAAAGCAAGAAGTGTAATCGGGATGAACATTTTCAATCTGCATTGCAAGAGAAGAACAAAATTAGCCGGTCCATGCCACGACAATGCAGCTGAGAAACACAAACAAGCATATGTATATAAACTGAAACATGGTCTTGTGACTATGGTAATCAAAAGAACTTACCCAAGAAGGTAAATGCGGATATATACAGCAGAATCAAGCCCCGCGTGTTCGATGAGCTCAGGTTCAGGCATTTTGAGCGCTGCAGGCATCCAGTTCAGAAACTTGACATACGTTGTCCAGTCCAAGTTAACGAACCTGGTCATGATTCCTCTGGAACGCGTAGGGCTTCCACGTATCCCTTTGAGATACCATTTGGGGAAGTAAACTCTATCGTTAACTGGCTGAAGCCTCAACATAGCAAATGCAAAGAGGAAAGCAAATGCAGATAAGAGATTTATAGCTGCAGAGAGACCAATATCTTGTACAGAAGCCATCTCTTTCACCAGATGTTCCCAATGCTGTTGGAGAGATCACAATAAATAAATAAAGTTTAAGTCTTTCACAGAATGAATGCAAGATTTTATCTTAGGATTCATTTATTTGCAATTACATTCAGGTTTTTTTTGGAAATGTTTCTGGGAAACAAAATTGCAGGGGAAACAACGAGATAGTGTGTAAATTACCTGAGAGGGAGGTGGCGTTTAGGGTTTTTTTCTGGATTCAGACAGTTTCCCGAGAAAATCGAATATGAGGAAGGAAATTGGCGTTTGGTGGGGTAAAGACTGTCAGAAAGTGGATTACCGGGAAAAGAGGAGAGAAAATTGCGCTTAGGTTTGAAGATTTCTGTGAAACTCATCTCAAAATCAACCATCGGTCTCGAGGAAGAAGAAGATGATGTGGCGGAGAACAAAACAATACAACAATTCATATTCTCCTTCTCCAACGAAATTTCAATCTTTCTCCTCCGAATTCTCTGCTTCTCCCTCGATTTTTTTTTTAAATCCTGATTATTAGTTTTTTTTTTTCAAATGTTTGGTTTTCTTTTAAAGAGTTCTAATATATGCGTTCCACACACGATTTTAGCGCGATTTCTCATTGCTATTTTGTGTTTTTTTTTTTTTTTTGGTAATAAACGCAATCCTGTGATTTTGCCAAAAACATAATTTCATGATTTCCTCTCAAAAAACGCAATTCCGTTAATTTCCATCAAAAACACTATTCTGTAATTTTCAACCATAAACGCAATTCTGTGATCGAATCCAACAATTAAATAAACCAGATGAATATGAATTTTATGATAAAATTCTAACCGAGATGAAAATTCTTATTACAAACTGTTTTTATGAATTAAATCAAGGGAATGGTTAATAGATTAAAATGGATTTACATAGTTAAACCCATTTAACAAACCACTATCCATATAATGGTACCAATGTTGCAGTGCGTTTCAGAGCCAATGTCAAGTTCTGAAATCGACCATGATTAGCCATTCCTCTTCCTCGTTTCCTGTTTTTAGAGGTATTTTGACACTTGTTACATTGTGCTACTTAGAACCCTTAACACTGTCGTATATCCACATGTGTTTCCTTTTTGGCCTAATGCTGTTTATTTCTTTTGTGCAGAGGAGTATATTAGAAGTTTAAGTATCTGTAATATAGACAAGGGATGGAAAAGTTTGTCAGTTTTACAGTTTTGTAATATCTTATTATATCTGAAATATCTCCCTGTGGTTCTGGATCATCATCAACTTAATGTTTTGTCACTCTTTTTGGTGTTTGTTGCAGCTGAAAAATCTAAGTACGCAGCACGAAATCAGATCCAATCACTGCACTAAAACAAGTACTTGATCGAGAAGAAGCTAGCAACCGAAGCAGAATTGAGATCGATTGAGAAGAAGAAGATATAGAGAGGTTTTGAGGAATCCAAACATCAAATTGAATAAATATTTTTTTTAAAAAAGTTGAATAAATATATATTCACATACTTCAATTTAAAAAGAATAATTCCTTACTACATTAAAAAGGACCCTTCAGTTTACGTAACAAGAAAAACAAAGAAACGAAACAAGGGGAAAGAAAAAGGTAAGAAAAGAGACTAATTCTGACGACTACGTGCATAATTAGCAGACACGTAATTAGCTAATCTCAAAACCAAATCGAAAACGAAGGTAGCATGTGCTTGAGCAGTTGATCCGAATGCTGCGCCTAACCACCTTGTGAGACGGTCAGTAGATGACAACTCGGGAACGTTAGGTTTGGTGCAACCACGACTCGAAGCTTGAGCCCAGCCGCACAATGACCCGTCTTCGAGCTGATGAAGTAATGGACTCCTGGTTTGGTGAGCCTGACTAGATCGTGTCCTGTCTTGTGCACGGCTACTGGACTTGTCGGGTCGCAGGATTCGAACTCAAGATGACCGTTGATTTCCAAGACGTCGTTGGCTTCGTTGTTGTATTCGAAAAGAAGTCTGTCTCCAACATGAAACTGTTTCTCCTCGCTCCACGTGTGATAGAAGTCACTGTCGTAAACCTTCCATCCTTTGGAGCCACCGACCTTGTAGGTCTTTGCAAAAGGAAAGTTGTTGCTCTGTGGTGGTGGTGGAGGAATCGGACGTGACGGGTCTTGGACGACAAGAACGTCGAGTCTCTGTCCCGATTCGCAATGAGCATGATTTGAGGTGATGAAGTAGTGAAACCCTGGTTCCGTGAAGGTTACGACATCATGCCCTGTGTTGTAGACGGCTTTAGGAGAAAAAGAGTCGCAGAATTGGTATTCCAAAGCGCCTGAGACTTGAGTGACGTCGTTGAGGTTGCGATCGTATTCGAAGACGAGTGAGTCACCGACGTGAAACTCCTTACGCTCGGCCCAACTGTTGTAGACGTCGTCCTTGGCCGTCCATCCATCGGAGTCTCCTACTTTGTAGATCGTCGCCGAGCAGCTACCCAAGAGAAACGTGAAGGTTGTTATGACGAGCACAAAGCCAAAGAGCATGGTGTTGATCTTCTTCGTTGTTGTTGTTGTCGCCATATATGATTCGAAGGTATACACGAAGAAGAACAAAGAAGAAAGATGAAACAATCTGAGAAGCGAACAAGCTGAAGAAAGATGAAACAATCTGTGAGGCGAACAAGAAAGGTTTCGAGATAGAGAAAGAAAGAAGCTACCCTATCTCTCTATATATAGTGCTCTACGTTTCCGAGCCCTAATCTTTGTTCTATAAAGGAAGTTATGTACTTTCTTTCCTTTTTCTACATTTATTTCTTTTCAAATATATTTGTCTTTCCTTTTTGAATTTAGATAAATGCTTAACGATCAGCTTAATCTTTATTTGATTTTTTTATTTTGTTGTTTTTTATTATATTTATATTATCCATCTTTGCTTTTACTTAATATATATCATTAACATCTTTGTCTCTTTAATTATTTTGTCTCACTATTCGTATTTCTACATTTATTTCTTTTCAAATATATTTGTCTTTCCTTTTTGAATTTAGATAAATGCTTAACGATCAGCTTAATCTTTATTTGATTTTTTTATTTTGTTGTTTTTATTATATTTAATTATTTATATTATCCATCTTTGCTTTTACTTAATATCATTAACATCTTTGTCTCTTTAATTATTTTGTCTCACTATTCGTATTTATTTTTGTAACTCTCTTTTTAATTGATGGGGTTATTATTAAAATTTTTTTTTTAAATGTGTAAATTAGTTAGATTATACAGACTGCACGACAAAAAAAGTTAGATTATTCAGACTGCAATCAAGATGTATTTGTTTACTAAGACCATATTGCTGAATCCCTTAATGGGTTCATCAGAAATTAAAATTTTTTTTTTTTTAATTGCCGGAAGAATCCGGGTGTTTGTGGGGGTTTCAGTAGCGAACCCGAGAAGGAGTTCATCTGGGAATAATTTTTTTTATTTTTTAAATTAAACTTATTAAAAAAAATAAATTTAAACACACTATTAATTAAAAAAAAATACAATTTAGTACATAAAATTTTAAACACAGCTAAAAAGTGTTGTAACAACAAAATTTTTTCCCCAAAAAATTCGAAAACCCTAATTTCTTGAAACCCAAACGATTCGAAACGAAATCAACTGAAATATCAGTCCGGAAGCTTACTTTGACAATATGAACGGTTGCGCGATCCTCGGAAGAGCGATTCACGAGAAAATTTTCCGGTTTCGATGGATGGGTCAGAGAATCGCAAAAATCGCCTGGAAAAAGGAAAGAGGGAAAGGAAAAAAACTTAGGGAAGAAAATGAGATTTTTGGTCCTCCATTTTTTTCCCTTCTCGAAAATTACCCCAATCTTTCGATCACTCCCGACACGCCACGTCGACAAGAGGCGGGTTCATCAGGGTCGTCCGGATGAACCAATCCGTCGAATTTAGGCTTTAAATTTCTTTTTTTTAACCCATTAATTCCTATGAACTCGTACCCGCTTCCTTCGATGACACCGCGATGTACATGCTCTAAAATATTTGCTAGTGCATTGCTGCTTAAAATTCATTTGACAGGCAGTTACTACAGTTTTTTCAAGTTAGCTTTCACCAAATTTGGTATGGTTCTGTTTTCATCCAATCTAAGTATATATAGAACCAATATAATGAAAATTGGTCTGAATAATTTGCAGGTTAGATTAACAGATTAAGACAAATCTGACTCTTGGCTAATTTTGTTGTTGGACGATCTAACCGGTATTTGAGTATATGATTAGACATATACAGAAATCTGGTTATGAGTAAAACTTAAATTTGGTCCCTGGTCTACACAAATGTGAGTTTGGTTCTATTATGGGATTCTAAGCACAACTACGTACATTCCGCGAATTATTGGCTTCCTTGGGGAATTTTGGGTTTTTTTTTTTTTTTTTTTTTTTTTTTTTTTTTACTTGGTTATGGGCTGGCTACCAAAAACACCGTTTATTAATAAATTTGAAATGCCCTAGTTTCATGGTTAATTAGGACGAGACAAAATTTGCTAAAAGTCAGAGACCACAACTAAAGGTCGAAATATTTTTTTAGGATTTGTATGTCACTTCCATCCAGAGTTTAAAAAAAAAAAACATGAAGAGTACACTGTACATCGAGGAAAAGAAGAAAAGCTTGATAGATGTTAAAGTAATCGTAGATTCGCTCAAAGAACCAAAATTTGCTCTATAAAGTGTAGAGTGTAGAAGAAACGCAGAACCCAAAATCCCTTTCATATCTCTTTTATTCTAAATACCAAATTTATTTCTATAAAGAGATGTAATCTTCTGCACTTAAAGTTCTGTCTCTTTATCAAAGAAGTCCCAGCCATCTTCGAGGAGCTCCTTGCGTTCGTCTTTTTCCTCGCTAACCGAAGCTTTTGGGCTCTCTTTGTTACCTGAGGCTTCAGGTGTTTCATAAGATAGCTCAAGAGTCTTCTCAAGCAACAAGCTCTTCATTGATGATCTAGAAGAAGCCAGTTTACAACTAGTCTGGCTTGAGGAGATTGACTGGCTCAACGGCACTCGGTTGTCGAATTTCTCCTTCAAGAGTCGGATGTCTTGACAGATCACAGAGATTTCTCCTCTGTTCAAGGAAGAACCAAGAGAGAAAATACAAGTTAAGATCACTTAGCAGCAGACAAGATTCAACCTAAGATCCTGAGCATTTACTCTAACAGCAAATATATCAACAGATTATTCTATGCCTCATCTCTTAACTGCCAAGCGAATAAGATTGCTAAATATGATTTATGGGTCTGAATATTAATCAATATATAGCAATTTTCCATCAATGATGCTTCACAAGGCGATGAATGTTAAATTATTAGTGATGAGCAAGAGGACTTACTGTAAGGAATCAACAATCCGACCACGATCCATAAGGAACTCTCGCAGCTGCAGACACAGGGAAAGATATGTTAAAAAACTTGTGACTTCAGAATCATTCAGAATCATTCGTTAGTGGCAATCACAAGGCAGTGATGTTACCTTGGAATTTTCCTCTGCCTCCTGCTGTAGAAGCTTTGATTCTTGGACAACTTTCTCCATGATCGCTTCTTGTTCAGCAAATGCCTTCCGCGCAGAACCTTCTTTTTCTTGCTTTTCTTGCTCAGCGGCATTTTTCATCTCCAGCGCTGTCGCTAGTCTCATTTCAAGAACTCCACGCATCTAAAAGTAAAAAAAGAAACACAACCAGCTAAATCATACAGTGTGAAACAGTAGAAGTCAATAGCGTATTGTCAATCAAAGATTAATGGAACAAAAACAGAACTACTGAGCAAATAATCTAGAGGGTGTGACCTGCACGTACCTCATCAAGAACAGAAAGAGACTTGTCTCGTTCATCTGATAAGTTGAGCAAGCGATTTTCAAGCTCGTTTACTTCAGTGGTCAAAATTGACCTCTCCCGTGCTTGACGCGACGATCTGTGACATAAATCATGATTAAGTTCCACATTCAAATCTAGCACATTAGCCAACACGTATGAGCACATATCAGTAAAATAAGCTCACCATGTCATTTCCCTCCTTAGCATGTGCCAGAATCTTCTTCAGATCCTCAACCTTTTTAAGGGTATCGAAGCCTCCTCTAGTAGCTTCTTCCTTCATCTTTCTGCATCGTTCTCTTGAAGTTCAACTTCTCTCATCAGATTCAGGATCGACTCCATCACAGTGAACAAGGTTCTCTACATCAATATAAAACAAAAAGAAAAGAAAGATATTCAAATATCGTGAATGAAACACTGCTACACATATCCCAAAAAATACTAGTTACCACACCTTGTTACTTTTGGCATCTTCAATTATCTGCTCAAGGTGATCAATTTTGCATCCCTGCGTTGATCTGCTAACAATAGAGCTAAAAGCACTACTTTGATCTAGATCACCGTTTTCAACGGCCAAAGAACCCTTTGATGTCTCGTCCACGAGATTTGAGGCACTCAACTCTGCATCCCTGTTTTCACCAGCCAGTGAACCACTTGACGCCTCTTTCACATCATCTAAACTACCAGATCCAGATTGAGAACGACATGGTTTCTGTGTAATTGTCGAATTGTCTGCTACAGGATAAACCAGCTTATGCACAACATCTTCTGAAACAACGCCTGTGCTTGACTCAGCTTGATTACCTGTAAAGTGGAAATCAATACCTTCCCAACAATCGCTAGTCAATTTGGATCCCGCCTGAGTGAAGGCAGGGGGATCTGAGGAAACCACTCTAGACTCATTAGATCCGCTCAACCCGATAGTTGCTTTGCTCTGTATATCAAGATCACCATTTGGCATTACATTTGTCAACTGGTTCCTATTAGAAAGAAACTCAGTAACTGGGGCCCTTGTTTCATGGGCCAGAGGGATAGTTCCTGAAGATGAAGCACCCGTCTCTGAACCACTCAACCCACCGTTTTGAATATCACGTTCTACTGCATTTCCAACAGCCATTTCATCAACATATATCCTCATGCATGATAATTGAAAGAGAATGGTGATGATCTAGGTGCAACAAGTAACTGCAAGATTTAAATGTACCAAAGTCCGAGAAACAGAACAAAAGATTTAATAATATTCATATAAAAGAACAAGTACCATTGTTGTCTGGCACATTTCCCGGTGCCTTGTCCCCAGGTTGTGTAGAATCAGTCAAATCTGGGCAAAACTTAGGAATAACCTCTGAAATAACTATAGCTGCAGCTTCATCAGCATCCTTTGGGTGCTCAATAGCAACAGCTCTTAAAATCCTTGCATCAATCTGCAGCAAATTGTATTGTGTAATGTGGTCTTAATCAGATTGATAATAAGTTACTTCCAAAACACAAACCGAAAGGAAGAACATGATCCAGAATCTAGAAGTTAGTAAACATATGTGACGTGAGATAACTAGATGAATCATCGTATATTATATATACTAAACCTCAACAACAAAACATCCTCTGTTTATCATAGCTATAAACACGAACCACAAGTTAAATTATGTGAAAGGAGATAAAGATAAGAGCTTACCTGTGGAAACAGCTCTGTGAGAGATCGATAAACGGTTTTGGAACCCATCAGCGAATTATGGAGAAAATCTGCAAGAAAGCAAAAAAAAACGTCAGGAATACCAAAAGTCAATTTCTTCTCTGAAAAGCGTCATATAACCAGTAAAATCATAGGACCGGTGCAAAACCCTAAAAAAGCTGCTTGTAGAAACCCAAATTTAAATAGCCGCATCAAACAATGAAACACGCGTGAGGCATAAACTTTATGCGTTTCGAGTTTACAACGAACACTAAACCCTAATAAACATAAGAGAGAGAGGCGAGGGCAATCAAAAGGAAGCAAGCAACTTAAAATACGAATCAGTATATATTCCGATCATTCTGGATATCAGCGAAGAAAGCAACGAGCTGATGATCATAATAGATAAATCTACTCGTAAGAATCGAGATAATTACGCAAAATTCAAAATATTCGAGAAGAGAAGAGGGCGTCGAAAGATATCATCAACATAGACAGAGAGAAAGGGAAAAAAAAAAATATGTTTTTGAACAAAAGGAGGATCAATTCTATTCTTCCTCTAATTTCTCGGGTGATTTCTCAAAAGAAGCAAAGAAGAATGAGATCACACACACGGACCTTCCCAGATTTTCCGTTGGAGGTGATTTTGACAGAGCAAAGGGAGCGGAAAAGGCGCAAATTCGGATGAGATTTTGAGAATTGTGTGAGAGAGACTAATATAATAATTGTTTCTTGACGAAGGAAATTGAGAAGTAGACCAATTCTAAGAGGAAACTCACGCAGCTAAGGAACAAAACGAGGATACTTTTCCTTCATTAAGTAATTGAGCTTAGACCGACGTGGGTTTTTGGCGGGGGCCCAGCTTCAAACGGGCTTCGGCCCAATTTAATAATGATTTTCCCAATTAAAATTGTCACTTATTGAGGGTTGCAAATTTTCATGATCCAATAACCCAATTAACCATGATAGAGTCTGAGAATGTTAGTCTGATATCTCATGAGACAAAAAGGTTTAATATTTCACCTCCTACTTGCTATTACACCAATAATATACTTTTCCTTTTTTTTCTCTCAAGGTTTCTTCTATCTTCAAAAACGTACGCCTTTTTTTTTTAATACCATATCTTTTTGATTGCAGATTAGGAAAAAAACTAAAGAGTTATGGGCAAACTCAACAGAAGCCTTAGATGGATGAGAAAGGCATCATGTAAAGGCCCTTGCTCTCCAACAAGCTAGCTGCAGCATCATAATCTTTTGTAAGAAGATCAGCCATTAACTCTTCCAGCGGTTTTGTCTGCTCCTGATGAATGAAGTGACCGTATCCCTACAACATGTTCATTCTTTAGCACACACAAAAAAACACATCATTGTATGTTTTCAGATGTTTACTTGCATAGTTGCATTACCTCAATGGATATCATAGGATGAGAAATTGGATCTCCTCCCAACCTGCTTCGACTTAATTCCTATAACCCCAAAATGTCACGTCAGCAAGTTTCTCTACAGGGTGGTTCAATCTGGTTAATTGATTCAGAGTTTTTTGTTATTTCTTTTTGGTTTAGGAAGCATTTGAATCCAACACTTGTTTTGGCTTTCTGGTAGGGTTTTGAGTTGGATTAGTTCAATTCAATCCCATAATAGCTATTCGATGTATATATAAACAAGGTGAAAAAAAGAAGAAAGAAAAAAAGAGAAGCAAGGCAATACCTTCATCTGTAGCTGCAGAAGCTTAACATGAGCGATGATATCATTGAGTATCGATTCAGGAGTATCCTACAAGATCAAAATTAAGCTTTGAATCTCTCACAAGTCAAGAGTTACATGACAAAGAACTGGTGGAGATATACATATATGACCACATGAAGGTTAAGTTTATACCTCAACTTCATGTGGGAGCAATTCTCCTAATGCATTGATGTTATCCTCAATCCGCCGCATGCGCCCCTGATAAAAGATTGAACCAATGGTTTGTTATAACCTCAAAACAACAGATGAAATCACTAAAAGCACTATATATGATGATATGTGGAAACTTACACATTCAGTGGACCAAGATTTGGTTTTGTTGGATTTTTTCGAGGGCACATCTTTGAATCTGCTATAGAGCTGTGAAAAGTCACGGTTGTTGTTGTTGTTACTCCGTCCTTTCCAACTTCTCAGCTTCTGATCAAATAAACAAAAAGTTAGCTCCTCAAAACAACAAAGACTCTTCAAATCAGACATTACTTCAAAAATGTTGTTAGAACTTGACCTCAGAATAGTTTTGGGACGATGGATGCTCCGACTTGCGTGACTGGCGTGAGGATCTTACACCCACAGGGACCTTACTGCTACTTCCCTGCAATAAAAGAGATGCAACTAGCTCAGTGCTTTCAGGAATTGATGGTACATTCAATAGAGGAAATGTTTTAAGATGCTTACAAAGGTTTCATTGTTGGTGTGGCTTGGAACACGAGTAGAAGGTTTCACTTTCAGAACACCACTCTTTTCAGAACAGATTCCTTCGCTCTCTGAAGCTGAGTACAGTGCTCGTGAACCAGACGCTTGATCACGACTCGGCAGAACCACTTTCTCCACGACGTAGTCGAGAGGAGGATTTTCATCAGGCGTTGATTCTTCGTTGAGCAACGAGAGGTAGCTAAGTGGAAACTTAGATGGTTGAAGCCATTGAGACAGCGACAAACTCGTCTCTTCATTTTCCACTTTCACTTGAGAAGAAGCATCAAAGTGATGATGATTCTGATGATTTCCAAAGCCACGGTTACGACACGCGATACTCAGTCTCCTTTCCCTTTCCATATTCGTCTAAGAAACAAAAAAATCAACAAAAAAAGCCAAAAATCATGTTCATCAATCCATGGAATCGGAGAAATGTAAATACTAATTTCGAAAGTGAGAGAACACATGTGCATTAAGTAATCTTCGATATGAAGCTAGAAATCACTCTGTAATCAGATTTCTTAACATAAATTAGTCAGGTAAATCACCATCGCATGTTAATTGTGATTTAGGGTTTGAGGATAGTTACCGAAATCTAGGGTTTATGCGAAGAAAGCCAAAAGTGAAGAGCAGAAAAGCACCAAAAAAAGTCTCTCTTTCTTCTTCTTTCTCCTTGCTTCGTACGGATTCCTTCTGCAGATTCTGAAAAGACTAATTTGCCCCAAAGATTTTATATTGAGTTACATTATCATGGTCCGGCCAGGCCCAGTTTCATTTATTAGCGGAAAATCGAGTTTTTCAAACAAGAATTTAATGATATGATAATACTATATACTCCCTCCGTTTCATAAAGAGTGTTTGACATATTTTTACACATATTAAGAAAATTATTAAAAGTACAATTTTGTTCTTTATTAATATATTAAATTTTATTTTTATCTAACAAATACATTAAATTAATAGGGTTAAAACTGGAATATCGTTTAAAATTTTGCATTGGAAATATAAAACAACACTCTTAAAATAAAATCTTAAAATAAAATCTTAAAAGACCTTCTTTGTAAAACGAAAGAAGTATAAAAAAAGCAGATTATAAACCAATTATGACCAAATAAAAATTTATCAGTTTTGCTCAAAAGATCACCATCAATCATGGGGAAGAAGAAAGCTGTGAAGTACTTCGTGGTAATCTTTTCTTTTCGTTCTCCTTTCTGGGTTCTGGAGTTTTATTTTCAGAAATAAGATCAATGAATTTGGTGTTCGAAGGTGGATGCTTTCACTGATTCGGCTTTCAAAGGGAATCCAGCGGCGGTTTGTTTTCTCGACGACGACGACAACGAGAGAGACGACGCGTGGCTTCAGTCTCTTGCCGCCGAATTCAACATCTCCGAAACTTGTTTCCTTACTCCGATCACTGGTTTCGAAGCTCGCTTCCGTCTCCGGTGGTTTACCCCTGTAACCGAGGTTTGCCGACTTCTTTGACTTCCGCTTTTCAAAGTCTTAAGAGAAATTCATCTCAAATTCGCGAGGTCTCTATGGTTTCTTTGGACTAATTGTTCTCTGATTGATGAATTTATCCCTCATGCCTCTCTCACTCTCCAAGTTAAACTTTAGTGATTTGGGTTTATCCCAAATCTTCTATCAATTCGTAATTTTGATAAATGATTGGGGGTTATTTAGAGCCCGTCCATTGATTTGTAGGTGGATCTCTGTGGTCATGCAACTTTAGCATCTGCTCATTGTCTCTTCTCATATAATTTGGTTGATTCAGACGATGTCGAATTTGTCACAAGGTCGGGGATTCTTACAGCCAAGCGAGTCACAGATACTTCAGAGCTCAATGATGGTGAAGTGAAAGGTGGAACCTTCTTGATCGAGTTGAATTTTCCTGTGATTACAACTTGTGATATCAATCTCAATGATGTCTCCTCCTCCATGATCACCAAGGCCTTGAACGGAGCTACCATTGTTGATATAAAAGCTACTACGACAAACATCATCGTCGTAATGTTTCATAAACTGTCCACATTTTAAAAGTATTTGGTTTCCCTAATCAGATACTACGAATATATTCATGTGTGCTTATACTACAAACTAATCATATCCTGTGGGAAATGCATAAGGAGCATCATAATCTTTCTTAGGACCTTTGATTTACCCTCTTATGCATTTGTTTGCAGGTCGTGCTTCCTTCTTTGGAGTCTGTCACTGAACTGCAACCAAGAATGGATGATATGTTGAAATGTCCCTGCCGTGGCATAATTGTTACAGCGGCTGGTTCTGCAGGATCGGCCTATGATTTCTACAGTCGGTTCTTCGCTCCTAAATTAGGAGTTGACGAGGTAAAAGAGTAGCTTCATCTTACTATATGATCTGAATATCAACACTCTCTTTGCTCTTAGGAGTGAACAAAACACCTAAAAGTATGGTTTTTTTTTTTTCTGCCTGTATTGTGTCGCCCTTTTTTTCAGGACCCTGTTTGTGGAAGTGCACATTGTGCATTAGCACATTACTGGAGCCTCAAGATGAACAAGTGTGATTTCCTAGCCTACCAAGTAATCTCTCTAATCTCTTTAATTTTTGTAGTGTTTAGTAGCTTCCTAGAGAATGATTTTTGAGTTTTTGGAAATCTGCTTAGGCTTCGCGTAGGGGTGGAACAATTAGAATTCATCTAGACAAGGAGAATCAGAGGGTTCTCCTGAGAGGCAAAGCCGTGACTGTGATTGAAGGCCATGTCCTGGTCTGATCTGAGATGATACATTGTTGGTTTCTGCTCCTATAACCATTGAATAAAGACGAATTTTCACTATCTTCCACATTGTTTTTAGTGTTAGCTGATTGACCCACCTCACATAAGGTGGGTAACCACTGATAGGATATGTCTATAATTTCTGACCATATGTGGTCATTTGCATGAATTTTTTATTTGTATGTGTGTGTGTGTGGCTATTGTAGTTATTACAATAACGTATATTGGGTATTTCCTCTCTTTTTTGGGTGACCAAAATCGATCTTGTCTGATTTGATAGAACAGAACACGTTTTAAATTTCTCGAACTATTCCATGAGATTAAAGACTAGTCTGTGTATTTATTATTACCTTTGTTTCTCGAACTATTCCATGAGATTAATTCAGATCTGAGATCTATGTATGTTGAAATGCACATTGTGTAAAATACTAAAATTTCTAAGGTAAAGAGCAAAACACATGTGACATGTTAATCAACAACAGAGCATATGAACGTATTTGAAATGGTACTTATTTGTCAACAATCCTAGTAAGGTTCATTTTCTTTTGAGTTTCGAGCATATCTGTCACTTCTTTTTGTTGTCGGTGGATATCTGTGGTCATGCAACATTGTGCATTTGGCATAAAGCCAATGATTCATATGAGCCAACACTTCGCTGTCGCCATTTATTTGTCTTGACCACCTCTCCTGCAGATAGATTGCGAGAGGTGTGACAAAAATAAGAAGAAAAAGTTGTTTTCCTTCTAAGGCTACCTTCCGAATCTTCCCAATATTTATTACCAATCAATTACTCTTATTTGCGTCTTTTCCTTTTCGGCTTACCAACTTTTTTTTATTTATACTAGACAAAACGTGGAACATGTTTGTTTCTAGAATAGAGTTTTCCCGAATATAAGTCAGTGTGTCAAAAGGAAGAAGAGGAGGGATGACCATGACCATGAAGAAGCCTCTGAAGTTCTTTGTGGTAACTTTATCTTCTTCTTCTTCTTCTTCTGATATTTTACTAATGTAACTTCTTTCCCTCATTCTTTGCTCTGAGTTATTCTCTTAAGAAATGTTTCATCTTCTTATTGGTTTTTGTTTCTGATAATGTACTAATGTAACTTCTTTCCCTCATTCTTTGCTCTGAGTTGTTCTCTTAAGAAATGTTTCATCTTCTTAACACTGTTGAGTGTTGTTGATAAACAGGTTGATGCATTTCACTGATTCAGCTTTCAAAGGAAACCCAGCAGTTGTTTGCTTTCTTGATGGAAAGAATGAGAGAGACGACTCTTGGCTTCAGTCTCTCGCAGCTGAGTTCAACATTCCTTTGACCTGTTTCGTTATTCCAATCACTGGATCGCATGCCCCACACTTCTTTCTCCGTTGGTTCACTCCTATCCTCGAGGTTTTACAAACTTCAATCATTCAAAAGCATGCACACTGGCCTTGTCTGCAAATTTCAGGTGACATGAACTCGTTTCTTTCTCGCAGGTGGATCTCTGTGCTCACGCAACCTTAGCTTCTGCTCACACTCTCTTCTCAAACTGTTTGTTTGGTTTGGAAACAATCGAGTTTGCCACCCATTCAGGGATTTGAACTGCTAAAAGAGTTTCAGAAACTCTCAACTTGTTTGACCTTGAAGAGAAGGGATCTTTCTTGATAGAATTGGATTTCCCTGTGATTCCAACTTGCGAGTACAAATCCAATGATATCCCCATGTTTTCCAAAGCCTTAAATGGAGCCACCATTGTTGATATCCGAGGAACCACAAGTGATAAAATCATCTCCAAAGCCTTCAATGGAGCTGCCAAAGCAACTTCAACTGATAAAATCATCGTATGCATTTTCAACAAAAACGTTCCAAAAGTTTGACTTCGAACGATGATGAATTCCGAAGAAATATTTATATTCATCTGATCATTACAGGTTGTGCTCCCATCTTGGAAATCTGTTACTGAACTGCAGCCAAGAATGGATGATATCTTGAAATGCCCTGGAAAACTGATAATCGTTACAGCTGCTGCTCCAAAAGAAACTATCTACGATTTCTGTAGTCGGGTCTTTGCACCGAAATTAGGAGTCGATGAGGTTAAAAATCTAGCCTCCATTTGCATTCTCATGAGCAGAAGCCATGAACAACCTTCCTCTTCTTACTTCTGTAGTCTTTGTTCCTTCAGGACTCTGTATGTGGAAGTGCACATTGTGCATTAGCACATTACTGGAGCCTCAAGATGAACAAGTGTGACTTCGTGGCTTACGCGGTGACCTTTCTCTCCCTCATAATCTATAATCTACTAGGCTTTTTGAAGCTAAACAGCAAAATATTTCCAAAGTTGGTTAAACTTGATTGACTGATAGTGAGTTTTGGGAAATTGGGTTTTAGGCTTCACGCAGGAGTGGAACATTGAAGGTTCATTATGATAAGAAGAAGCAGAGAGTATTGCTCACTGGCAAAGCTGTGACTGTGATGAAAGGCTCAGTCTTGGTTTGAGACTTCAGAGGTCAAGATTTTCAATATCTGGAACCAAAAATTTTTCATGTTCCCAATAAAGTGATGAAATCAAATTTATGATAATCTTTCTTAAAATAAGGAGGCACCTTGACGTGGAATGTACTCAGGAAGGGTTCCTGTTTGATTGACGAACGTGTGTATCTGTAATGCTCGAGTATAATCTTATTAAAATAATAAAGTTGCATTGTTTATTTGAAGCTTGTCCATTAATTGATTTCCGGATATAGTTCCATATGTAGTTGTAGTTTGTTAGTTATGTTTGTAGGTGGAAGAGTGGTCATGTGCATTGGCACATTTATTGGACCAATAAATTATGAGTTGATAAGATAAGATAGAAAAAAATAATTGGACCTTGCTCTAACGGCTTTTGATTGACAAAAAAAAAAAAAAGAGAGGCTAACGGCTCTTGCTCGTGAAGTGTATCTACTTATATTTTTTTTAATAGAAGGAACGTGGTTCACGATTACATAAAATACAACTGTAATATAACTATATAACTCAACATTGAGAGATGCAGATCCCAAAAGGAAGCAGATCAGGAGGATGGTCATGATCATGAAGAAGCCTGTGAGCTACTTCGTGGTAATGTATCTTCTTATTCTTCTTCTTGTAGCTTGAGTCTTTCTTCTTTGTTTGCTACGGTCGAGGAAAGTAATGTAACTTCTTACCCTTCTTTGGTTTGGAGAATTCTATTGAAGTTATTAATTTTTTTTTTTTGGGTTGAGAAATGTTTCAGACTTTAAGCTTAATGTTTGATAAAACAGGTTGATGCATTCACTGATTCAGCCTTCAAAGGGAACCCAGCAGTAGTGTGCTTTCTTGATGAGGTTAATGAGAGAGACGACTCTTGGCTTCAGTCTCTAGCCGCTGAGTTCAATCTTCCAATGACTTGTTATCTTACAAGAACGACCGGATCCAATCCTCTTGACCCTCCACGGTTTATTCTCCGGTGGTTCACTCGCTTCATAGAGGTCTAGCATCATTCTTCTTTGATTCACTTCTGATTTCATTTGGATCACAAGTTCTTTGTTTTCTTGCAGATGGATATATGTGGCCATGCAACCTTAGCATCTGCTCACACTCTCTTCTCAAACGATTTGGTTGGATCTTCAGACACGGTCGAGTTTGCCACTCACTCAGGCATTCTAACTGCTAAGAAGCTTCCTGAAACCTTGGACTACTTGTATGACTGTGAAGCTAACGAAGGATCCTTCTTTATTGAGTTGAATTTACCTGTGATTCCAACGTGTGATTACTACTCCAATCATGATGATGTCTCCATCTTCTCCAAAGCATTAAGTGGAGCTACCATTGTTGACATCAAAGGAACAACAACAGATTCCACAACCAACTCGGAAGCCTTGAATGGAGTTGCCAAAGCAGCTTCAACCGAGAAAATCATCGTATGCTTTAATACTCTGCTTTTTCAAAACAGAGTAACCTGAAGATGCTCTAATTGTTTTTACTAATCTTTATACAACTTCAAATGATGTGTTCCTAAATGAATATTTCGTATCCATTATGATTACAGGTTGTGCTTTCGTCTTGGGAATCTGTCACAGAGCTAGAGCCAAGACTGGATGATATCTCGAAATGCCCTGGGAAAATGCTAATCGTTACTGCTGCTGCTCCTGAAGGATCTTCCTTTGATTTCGTTAGTCGGGCATTTGGCCCCAAAATTGGAGTCGATGAGGTTTATAAAATACTTACTAGTCTGCATTTTCATTATAATGAATATAAAAGCCATGAACCTCTCATCTTACTTCTGTTTCTTGGATTGTTTTTGTTCATTCAGATCTCTGTATGTGGAAGTGCACATTGTGCATTAGCACATTACTGGAGCCTCAAGATGAACAAGTGTGATTTTGTCGCATACGCGGTAATCTCTCTCTCACACACTATAAATTACTAAAAATTCTAAGCTAGAGAGCAAAAACACATGTTACAGAATCAGCAACATATATACCGTTTCTCTACTGACGTTGATTTGGTTTTTCTTGGAAAATTGGTTTTAGGCTTCGCGTAGGAGCGGGAAACTTAAACTTCATTTTGATAAGGAGAAGCAGAGAGTTTTGCTCACTGGAATGGCTGTGACTGTGATGAAAGGCTCTGTCTTGGTCTAATCTCGACTCAAAGTCAAGGTTTCGACAACCTGAACCAAAAGTTTTTATCAAGTTCTCAATATCAAATTTATGATCATCTTCTTTATAGCAAACAAAAGACCCTCACATGGAATGTACTATGGGGTCGTTAGCATTTTTCCTGAAATTTGGAGAAAAAATATTACTTTGCCTTTAATGTGTGTTTTATGATCCTTTTGTACTTGTATAGAATATTTGCAACTGTGAGTAAGCACATAAAGCAGGGCATTGACTGTGGATACTTCTATTAGTGTCTTGTGAATCTGTCAGCTTGTGAATGTTTACTATTCCTGCTAAAATAAAATTTTGATTAAAAAAAAAAAAACTCACTTGTTTGGGTTAATGACAGTAAAATGAAATCAGATTTATGATCATCTTGTTGATAATAAACAAAGACTTTCACATGGAATGTAGGTAAAAAGTTCTCTGCGTTTCCTATTGGATATATTACTCAAGAACCCTATTAAGTGGCATTTTAATTTTTCATGAAAATCTGATTTTTCCCTTTGATTCGGTTTCCCAATGTTCTGTGAAATTAATATTTTCAAATGTGGAGTAAGCAGGATATTATTAGATTTACTTTGTTCATTGATTTGTGGATACTTCCATGTACGTAGTGGTGGTCGTTACCCACCAAATTCTCCACGTTTTCTTGCTTTCACTACTGATTGTAATAAAACAGAAGGTGGTTCTCATGTGTTTTTGCATTGTATAAGTCAACACTGAGATATGCAGAAATCAAAGAGGAAGAGTATGGTCATGACTCATGATCATGAAGAAGCATGTGAAGTACTTTTGTGGTAATAAATAGTATCTTCTTCTTGTTTCTCGGGAAAATATATGTTCCAGCTTCTCAAGATTGATATAAAGGTTTGCTAAAACAGGTTGATGCATTAACTGATTCAGCCTTCAAGGGAAACCCAACAGTAGTGTGCTTTCTTGATGAGGTTAATGAGAGAGAGAGGACTCTTGGCTTCAGTCTCTCGCCGCTGACTTCAACCTTCCCATGGCTTCTTTTGTTACTCTAGCCACTTCCTCCAGTCCACCACACTTGTCTCAACGGTGGTTCACCCCAACCCTCAGAGATTTTGAAATGACCTAATTGGATTGTTGTCTTCATGTAAGGACCATTTTTCAAGACTTGTGTTTGACAAAGGGCATTTTGTCTTGCAGCGTATTGAAATTATTCCTTTTTTATGTCTTGCAGGTGGATCTCTGTGGTCATTCAACCTTAGCATCTACTCACGCTCTCTTCTCAGATGGTTCGGACACCAGTAAGTTTTCCACACACTGGGGGATTCTTCTAACTGCAAAAAGGATCTCAGAAACTCGAACCCTAGAGTTGTCAGATTATGTAACAAAGTAATGAAATCAACAATAAACGATACTGATATTGCAGAATGCTATAAGTTTAGCAATAACGTATCAAAACTCAAAATCATGAAAACTTAAAGATAAGAAGAATTTGTCTTCTTCATGACAACCAAATCTCACTACAAGATAGATCTTTTATAATCCTGCTGTTACAATAAAAGAAGAGAGACCAAACTTTGGAACACGCCAAAATCCTTAACGACCACGGCCACGTCCACGGCCTCTTCCGCGCCCACGTCCCCGACCACCTGGTGGAACCTTCCCTAATACCGATGAGAACAACGAAATGATTAGAGAGTATGCATAAAAACCCAAGAGGAAGAAATTTGTTTTACTTTGTTAAGTTACGAATGGCTGAAGAGAAAGTAGATAGAAGCGTTTATGTTGTTACCTGCAGTTGGCTTTTTCGGTTTGATTCTTGGAGTGTCTTCGACCAGTAGAGTCTCGAGATTCAAGCTGTCTGGAAGAATGTAATAGCGAATGTTGTTTCCTCTGACACTTAAGTGGTCTAATGTGACTGGATTCTTCCCTTTCAAAGTGAGTTTCACAGCTTTCAAATGAGTGTTCATACTAACATCTACACCTGCATCAAGGGTCATTGCAAGTAGATAACAACCGGTCAGTGGCGATTTGATGATTGCATTATAAACAAGATGATGAAAGAAAAAGGAAATGAAAAAAACAACGTTAATAGCAAAGACCACTTGTATTGCCCAAGGAAATCAGTCAGCTTAATGAGACTAAAAGAGATGCAGAAACAAACTGTAATGTTACTGTTTCTTCAAAATTTAGAGATCTTATATACAAGGCAAGACAAAGAAGAGGAACTTTCAAGTGCTAAACTCATTCATTCCCATGGGCTTTGAATATTAACTCATTGATGGTGTTTCTTCTGGTATAGTGCTGGTTATGGATGATGCGATTTCAAATAAGAACTAAACAATCTCATAAAAAGATTTACAACGAAATCTAGTGTAACATCTGCAACTGACTCGACCAGTGTCACTTATTTCTTGCAAACAATAGGGTCGGTCCACACTTAAAATGCATTCGAAAATCAAGAATCGACTAAACTCAAAAAGGTTTTGGTATTCTCACTAATAACAGAGTTACACTTCAGAACATACGAGAGCTCCATTGGTTATAACCATCAGAGAGAAGCTACACTACTATCTCATGGGTAATCAAGCTTGAACAAGAACTAAACTATCTCATAAACCTCGATTTTAAAGCAAGAACTACTGTATCATCTGCATCTAACTCGGGGTAACACCGACAAAGCATTTCTAGGGCAAAACAAAAAAATCAACACTCTGGTTAAACTCAAATTACGCCTCAGAATTTGTGAATACGAGAGCTTCCGTTTCTTACAACCATCAAAATAGAAAGAGCAACACAGTATCATGGTACAAGAAGCATCGTAGATCTAAGCAAAACCCTAAACACCGAAGAGAGTCGGAGAAAAAGAGAGGCGTACCTGTAATGGTTCCGTGAACTATGGTTCCGTTCTTAAGCTCGATTGAAACTGTTTCGTTGTTCAATTTCATCAAAAACCTGCGGAAAATCCCGATACGAAATCAAACAGCGAAGAGCAGGAAAAAATACTAAAAATTTCGAACCAAAACTCCATTAACCGAAGGAATAAAGAGAATTGGAGTAAGTAAGAAAACGAGAGATCGGCACATAAGAAACAAAAATTCATACCTAACGAGCTTCATGGCGAGAGAGGAAAGACGAAAAGGAAAATTAGGGCTTTGAGCGAGAGCTCGAAACAGCAATGGCAAGAAGCGAGAGCGGGAGGAGGAAAAAGGATTTTTTATTGGAGCAGCAAATTAAAAGACTCTGAGTAACACCGACGTGTCTAATTTCTTGAATATTTGTTTTATTCCGAGATTTATTTTAAGTTTACTGAAAACACCCACCTTGATTTTCATTACCAAAAACAACCCCACAGCGAAAAAAACAGCTTACAAATTAAATTATTCAAGTTATATGCGTAATGGTGGAATAGTTCTGCCATATGCATCTTTTTATTTCATTATGTGATTCCCCAAAATCTAATGATGAATAATACAAGAATTAGTCATTACACAATTTATAAATTCAAATTGCATTTCATATTTGTCAATTCATTTACTGGTTTTTTCGTCTTCCACAATTCTGCTATTTTACTGAACAAACGGAGCCAGATGTCAAAATTTTGTATAGTCGCTTGATATATTTTGCTATTTTATGCGAAGCCTAAATAAGTTGAGGCCCGTAAGCTAATTGCTTGCACGGATGAAATAGGTGAATCGGCCTTTTAGCCCAATAGTAATGTTGGTTCAGACATCTTGAATTTGATTCGCTCAGAACTATATATTATACAAACCAAGAGTGAGGCAAATAGCAAACTGAAAATAGAAATATTATAAATTCATAATATGGATATATACATAGTCAAAATCTTATTTTGGGTATTTATTACTAATCCAATGGTAACAAACGACAGAAGAATCATTTTATTTTTATTTGATTCTAAATCTTCACATTATTAAGAGAGAAAAATTGGTCAATGGCAAATCACAGTCGGGTAATCAATAAGTCCATTCCTCCGGGAGAAGTTTCTCCGGCGAATCAATTGGAGTCTCGACTTCAATGTTCATAGGTGTTTCCACCATTTTGCTCTTCTTCTTCGAATCATTTTCTCGAATTTCTATATCCAAAAAAAAAAAAGAGAAGATAATTCATTTTTCTTTCTTGTATTTAAATTTAAAAGGCTATGCATTCATATACGGTCAAAAAGAAAAATAGAAATAGAAAAAGAATGATATGGCCGAACCTGAACGGGGGCAAATATGAATACCGTTGTTGTGAACGTTGAGATTGAGCGCTTGAACAACACGCGCCGGGAGAAGCACCGGCGAGCAAGCTGTGGCCACATAAATAATTTTTGTTTTTGTCATAAATCAAAATTTTGTAACATCAAATCTTAGATATAATGAGTCTAAAAGGATTCTATAGTATATATAATATTGAAAACAGTATACACATTTTCGTTCATATTTAATTAATACCTGGTTTTTTGGTTTGCGGTTGAGAAGCAGTGGCCGGAAGAAAAACTCCGGTGCCAGAAGTTGTACGGCCCGGGGAAACCAAGAAAAATGCTTGCATCCGGTCCTCTCCTTTACTCCGTTGCCAATTGTTTTGCTGCTTTTGTCTTGTATTATAGTTCTTCATAACACACACAAATATATAGACAAGTTTTTTAGTCTATAATTTAAAAATGCATGATAAATTTGGAATTAAAGGAGATAATAATGTCCTGTAACGATAGATCTTCCAATATCGATACAAGATTGAAAAAAAATTCCTTTGAAAAATTACCAAAGGAAAAGTTTCTCTTAAAGGAGGTGCACCCGGTCGACGGAATCCATTGTTGCCATGGTGGTGATCATTCTTGACGAATTTCTGCAACTGAATGAGAGAAAAAAAATATTAACAATGATTCCGATTAGACGAGAGAAAGTTATAACATGCATGATAGTAAAAATAATCAACTAGAAAAACTTAGATATAAGATGATATATGAACCTGATGTTTGTTGGAATGATCAAACAAGGGATCTTGGAGAACATGAGAGGGTAACCATATTTGCCTATCTTTGTGACCGATGATGTCACCCATTTCAAACTGACAACAACAAGATATTGAATTTCAAATCTTAATGTGAAAATTCAATAAACTTTGAATCAATCTTCGAAGAAGAAGAAGAAGAACAATAAGAGAGGATCAATGGAAAGTTTTCTTTGTTGACAAATAAAAAGAAAGAGGAGAAGAGGTTTGATTTTGCCCAACTTCTAACCTGAATCCTAACTATAAATATTACTCACGATGGGTTTGGAAAGTAGAGGGAGAGACGATGAGGCCAAATTGTTTGGAAAGCTAATTATATTATTACTTTAAGGTAATATTAAATGGTTTGTCTTTTATTAATGCCGCCATTTAAGTTTTTCCGTTTTTATTAAAAGAAAATCAATCATTCACTTGACAACAAAATAGAAAATTAATGATTTCAATGTTTGAATTTGGTTTCTTCAATATTATGAGGATGAAACGAGAGTTACACACCCTTTCATTTCAAATTTTCAAAACAAAACAAAAATAATCAAAATCATCTTAATCATCTTACATCATGAAAGAACTTTTTTCGTTTTGTCGATTATTCATATAAACCGCGTGGTTACCGTGTGGTAACGCCAGCATTGATGAAAACTACTAGGCTATAATCTTGCTTTTCATTAATAAAATTACTATAGAAAGTTTTTCATTTATGCATACAACGACTCACATAGTTCATATAAACCGCGTACTAACGCGTGGTAACGTCAATATTAGTAAAAATTGTTATACTATAAAACTTCATTTCTTTCTTCGAAACCTTTTAGAAGTATTTTTGTTTTGTCAAGATATTAATTTATGTAGTTTATGTTGACTAAATGAAAGTATATAGTTTCTAAGAAAGATTAAGGAGATCATGTCGGGGAGTGGGTTGAGTTGTATTGGGTAAACGCCTCCCTCTAATATTTAATCACATTGTTTATGTTTAATACTATAATTTAAAAATGTACCTTAAAAAGACCATAACTTCTACAAGTAAAGAAGGGCTTTACCTAAACTACAAATTAGGATTAAACATTTTTCTTGATTATACTATTCCACCTAAACCAATTAGAGACTAGTAAAGAAGTATTTCTAGCTCATTCAACTAAAACTTTTTTTAGAATTCGATTTTTGTTTCGCATGACGGTTTTTTCTTGATCATCCCATTCTCTTATCTCTCATGCTTACTAATTAGATCTTTGTCGTCCTGACCCAAAAAAAAATTACAAAAATTACAAAAATGGATTTGAAAGCTAGTTATGAACTTAAAAAGATGACCAGAAGAAAAATTAACAGTTTTCATTTGTAGTTGTCTATCCATAAAATATTTGCATAAAAAAGAAAATCATATGACCAACGGCGCCACTTCTTCTTAACAACCTTCACCAACCAACCCAAGTTCTTATAAAAAATTTAGGAAGTTTTTATTAGCTGAGGGATCTTATGCTTACTCCAAGTGGGCTCAATCGAGCAGGAAAATTTAGTGATTACTAATTAGTTTGGGGTGTTCAAACTTTCCGATTATAGTTTCACAATTAGCCTTGTACTTAAATTAAATTAAAACGAAGAATAGGATTCGAAAACATCCAAGGCTATGGTTTTATAGATACCCAAATGTAGTTTACCTACCAGCATATAAGAAACTAGAATCTCCTATAATACTTGGTGAATAATAACAACCGTGAAGGATTTTCATATTTAGGTACAAAATCAAAATTAATTTTTTTAGAGGAAAAACAAATTATCACAATCAGATTCAAACAAACAACTTCAAAAAAATTGCTATAAACGAAATATCAATTCTTATGATTAGATTAGGAACTGAAATTATAATAATAACAGGTTTGAAACTTATTTTGTACTAAGCTTTATATATGGGTTTATGGTTAAAATAGTTGACTAACTGTTCAAGTGAACAAATCCACTTTCGACACAAATCTTTGAAGCTTACATAAGCTTACACAAGTCATAACTACCCAACAAGAAGAGTCGAAGTAGGTATTTCAGTTAGTCAACCTATCAAGATCATTTGACATCAGAGAATAAAATTGGCCTACCAAGAAAAGTGTTTTAATAATATCACAAAAGCAAAAATGAAAAAAAGAGACAAAGAAGAAGAAAAAAACTCACAGCGATCTTTTCTAAAACTTTTATTCCTTTGCAGCTTTGGAAAGATCACTCTCCTCGATCTCTAATAGTCCGAGTAAACGAAATATTACTGCTTCAAGACAAGTATTTCGATTGGTCAGGACTCAAGAGAACGGATCTTCTCTCCTCACTAAATATAGCAAATAGCTTCATGGATTCACTCCACATGTGTTTGCTTTCCTCGGTTTGTGAAAGTTGCAGATCGATACTAACTAACTCTGCAGCTTTCAGGCTTAAGAAATGGTGGACGACATTTCAGTCACACGCATTCGACTTGTTACTCTTATAAGCTCCTTAGTCTCTTCATCTAACTCTACATTATCCTTAGCCATTCGCTCTTCAACTATGAGTGCCATCTCACCAGCTTTAGCGTAAGTACGTAACAAGGAATTGTAAAGATAAGTGTTCACATGACCAGCCTTTTGGAGGATAGTCATAAGCTTCTCTGCTCCTTTAACATCTCCTTGCTCCTCGAGTTCCTTGCAGACTGCTTTAACCAATCTTACATTCACAGTCCATTTCTTCACAGAATCAATGGCTTTCCCGAAACAATCTACTACTTTCTCCATGTTTTTACGCTTCAAATAACCCCATGTGAGAATTTCCCATGTAGAATAGCTCGGGTTTATCCCTTTCTCAACTATCCGTTCGTAAAACTTCTCTCCGAGGTGAATCTCGTCTCTGTTCATATACTCAGCAAGAATTAGGTTCGGTATTCTAGCATCTCTTGTTCCAGAAACAGACTCCCATTCATCGTACAAACCTTTAGCTTGTTCGAATTCTCCAAGTTTCATCACTGCAGATATCATGCTGAGGTATTCTGCATCGTTCATTTTCTTGAACGATGACTTAATCTTCTTCCAGGTTAAGTTGACTCCATCTTTGTCACCCAAGTTCCCGTGCAGACTAATGAGAGAAGCATAAGCAACCCGGTTTTTCTTAGAGACTAATTTCTCCATCTCCTTCAAAGCAAGTTTCGCCTTCTCGAGATTATCAGTCTTAGAATACAAATTCGTAAGCAAGCTGTAAGTCACCCAGTCTGGATTCAGGTTTGCTTCTTTCACCTTAAGATAAACTTTTTCCGCGGCTTCGACATCATTTCCAGAGGCAAACGCAGTAAGCCATAGATTATACGTTACAATGTCAGGAGATGTTTTGCTCTTCAGTTCCTTGATCATTTCTGGGACCTTCTCAAACTGCCCTTTTGATATGTACATCGATAGCATGTGATTGTAAGGCAGACAAGACTTCAAGAAACCACACTCTGCCATTCTCTCAAACAAGGCCTCGGCTTTATCGGATAACTTGTTCTGCACATAACTATGGAGAAGAGATGTACAAGCAGCATGGCCTCTCATTTGATCTGGCATATCTTCGAAAAACTTCTCTGCGCTGTTCAAACCTCGGATTTTAGAAATCAAATCCAAATGTACAGCATAATCGCCAGGTTGCAGCTTTATATCTTCCTCTAGAACCATATATTCACATATCTGCACATAGATAACACTAGAACAGTTTTACCACAATGAACTCAAAATCAATCCACTTATCAGATAGATATCACGAACAAAAAGAATTCAAATTGCAGAGATTCAATCCAAAATCAGAACAAACAAGTCGATTAGAGAGAGTAATCAAGTCACTAAATAGATAAACTCGTTTTCAGAGACGATAACTCAATAGATTTCCCCAGCAAAAAACTTTCGAATCGCAGAAGTTCAAATAGAATCAAAGCAAATACACATCTCGCACTGAGAGCAATCGGAGTAAATTCCGTCGAGAAATCACGAACCTCAAGTGCGTGTTTGTATCGCTTAATCTTACGAAGCTCTCTAACGATCCGATTAAGCTCGTACTTGCGAACGGAATGGCCTTCTTCTTTCCATTTCCGGATAGTAACAACGGCGCTGCGTTTGGTATACGTAAGGCTTAATAGCCTCCCTCCTAGAGTGTCTCTTCCTCCTCCCGCTTCTTTTTTGTCTCTCGCTGCTCCTCCTCCGTTGCGAGTCTTGGCTAACACAGCTCCAGCCGCCGGATCCACCGTCGCGGCGGAGAAAAGGCGGCAAATAGAGGCTAGGGTTGGCCGAGTGGAGCGGAGGAAAATGCTTCGATTCATCTTAGTCACTACTGAGCTCAGCTGTGTGGAAATTTTGAGTTCCTGCTAATATATGTGAGGTAAAGTAAATACTAATTACTGTGTTTGAGCCCATAAATTATTGGGCCCAATTTCAGCCCATTATAGTCAATGTTTTCGATTAAAAAAAATGGAGATTGTTTCACGGAGTTTGTTGTTCTATGTTATGATTGTTATCGCCCCCAAGAAAAGAACACACAGGCTAATTTGCTAGCGAATAATGTGCGTGTTCGAAAAGCAATTTTTTAATATGTATTTTTATTCCTTATTAAATTTCTGATACAAGGAATATATCTATTTAATTAATTTATAAAATACGTTTGTATCATAATTAAAATAAAAATAGGGATTAATTTGAAATCATCCAAAAAATAGTTTGAATAATATATTTGTTATAAAGGCAAATTATTTGAGATTATTATCTTCATATATTAATCCAGTTAAGTCTATGAACCAGATGTAGGTATAAGCCAACAATAAGGTATGTGTGTCTTTTAGGAAAAAAAAACCACTATAATCCAAACTCAATTCTATGACACTGATCATATAATATATATATATATATATATATATATATGTATGTGACAAACAAACAAAAACCTGAAATGGCTTAATGATCTGTGTAATATTTGCAGAAAATATGTTGTGGTATTTTTATACAAAAAAGTGATCATATAAAAATAGTAGCGAGTCGTCATGAGATAAATTAACATGATATTTTCTGAAGTAGTTTCCAACTATTCGAAAGATTGGCATCCGTATAAAAAAAATATACAGTGCAATTTATTTTTGTCAACAAAATTATATTAAAAAAAAACAATCTAACTGTTATAACTTATAACCATTAATCATTAATTACTTCTTTCTAACAAAAAGATAAGTAATGCAGTTGCATACAAAGGGAACTGAATGATTTTCCAAAAAGATGGGTACAAGATGAGATTTACTTAGATTTTGGTGACAATATAAACGAGTGAAGTACGAAGTAGCTTTTATCTATAGAGAATCCTCTTCCACTATTCGTTCCCTTTGCAGAGGACAAAGTATGCTATTCAGATATGGAAGACTGGACAATATATCGTATTTGTCTACTTCTCATTGGCTCGATTATATACTTGCATTCTATTTTGATTTCATTTGGAGATCGATATTGTACGAGTTTGCACGAGACAAAGGAAAGAATATCAAGAAAGGAGAGAGATCGTGTGTACAACAAAATCCTAGCATCTTTACATTTTACCCCCAAAAAAAATCCTAGCTAGAAATCAGACAGTCCTCCTAATTCTATCCACTTACGTCCGTACGACTAAGTGTGCATGTGTTTGTGTACGTATAGGTAGTATTTTTTTATAGTTTTTATATTGTTATAGTTCTATATAACTTGCTTTTACCAACAACAAAAAAAAACTATATTATTTTCGTTTGACTATTATGAAAGGGACTGCAATTTTTTCATGATCAGGTGAATAGAGATGTTGTGACGTGTTGAATCAATCTACTAAATTTTAACTTTAATGGAGATTGTTTTATATAAATCAATTTTTATGTTCTCGTGGAGCTCTCAAAGTCTCTTCAAACAGAACCAGATCTCATCTTCTTCTTTTCCCTTTTTTTTTGTTTTGCGGAGATACCTATTAACTGTCAGTGGAGGTCCTGACGTAGTGACGTACTAAAAAAAAAAGTAAAAACAGATGAAGAGTATATATGTTTTTTTTTTTGAACCTTGAGTATTATATGTTTTTTTTAAGCGTATTATATGTTTAGCATGGATTTGTGTCTTTATAGAATTGGAAGCCATAGTAAAACAATGGGACTTGGAAAATACTCATCTTTCATAAGCCAATATTAAATTAAACTTCAAGAAAAGGATAAACAAATATCATGAGTAATTATTGGTTTTAAAATAAAATTATTTGCTGACTTGAGTTTCCCATTAATTAAGTAGTCAACCAAAATTGTCGCTGCTTCCAGTTATGCATGGTTTTAGGCTCGCATCCATTTTCATTGCATCTCTTTCTTGGCCTTTTAAATTTCTTATATCCAATTTCGCCCTCAAAATTCTCATTATTACCCACAATGCCCTCTCCTTCTTCTTCTTCTTCTGCATCGTCTTCTTGTTCATTCTCTTCATCTCCATCTTCGTCGCGAGCTTCTGATTCGGATTCATTTTCTTCAAGCAATTTATCTCCGTCGTGGCTAACCGATGAATTCTCCGATAAACAGAGACGAAGCCTTCCTTCACAACGTTCAGATACAAAGCAACGAGGTGGTGAACAAACCCTAATTGCTTGAACTACAAGACGACCGTCTTCTGTATACGATTTCACCATACGGCTACCGTTAAATTCGTTGACGGAGTTTAACGGCGGAGGAAAAAATCTCTTTTCACACACCGTAAAGAAGTTAGTTTCTTTTTGAGGTTTCATGGTAAGAGGAACCATTGGGATATTGGTTGCTTTAAGCGCAAGCAACGAGATCATCTCGTCTCCACTCTCACTCCCATTCTCAGTCCCGAGACTCTCTGTGCACATCTCAAGGCTCAGCTTAGCTACGGACCGCTTCTGATCAGTTGGATGGACGTAAGGTGTTTTCTTTGTGTCGTCGTCTTCTCTGTTCCGGACAATGCTTCTGGTTTCAGTGAGAGTCTGCAGGAAACTCCATCCACACACGTCAGCATTTTGGCTCATCTGCTTCTTGGGAAGATGTTCGTAAGCTTGGCGAACAATCACGGACATTTTTTCGCTGTGTTAAGACTTAAGAGAGTGAAACAAAGCAAAAACAGAGTAGATGAGAGAGAGAGAATAAGAGAGAAAGAGAGAAAGAGAGAGAGAGAGAGAGAGAGAGAGAGATAGAGAGAGAGAGGGAAAATCAAGGGATGATATGAAGAAGAGTAGAGGGATGAGTCCGTATTTATAATGTGAGTTTACTTTTTCTTATGAGTATTTATTTATGAACTGACTATAATTTAAATTGGTAATTATAGAGAATAATTGGTCTAGACTATAGTATAATAAGTCAATGGTTGGATCGACGGGTCAGAGGGCTTGAGTATTGCATAAGGGGTTGAAGGGTGGTGATTGGTTGAGATTCCACTTGTATGCTATATAGGTTTTCTCATTGTCTATAATTAGAAAATCTTTCTATTCAAGGAAAATAAACTACAACCACCCAATAATGTTCTCCATATGCCAATTTACAAAACCAAGCTCATGCATCGACTCTTTTTTTTTTTTGGGGGTAACGAACAGATTATATACTCAAGCTAAAAGGTTTCAGACTGATACCATTCATTTAACTGATAGTAGATAGTTGGATACTGTCCTCATTTGGCATGATTCCCATAGCTGGATGGATGTATCAACTCTTAAACGTTGTAAGGTGAAAGAGATGCAATAGCAATTAGTTACGGGTGGCCGTGGTATTGGGGAAGAGATTCATGGCTAAGTTGACCAAACGCAATGCTCTTTTCATTGTAATCGAAACTGAAGACCCGATTACTTTCTATTACAAGTTTTTTTGTTTTATGATTTACATTTAATTTTTGTGTTATTTCTTACATTTTTGTGACTAGAAAATCACTATGCATCCGGTTCCAATCAATATATAAAACAATCTTGCGTTTAAAACCAAACCAAAACAAAAAAACTATCTTAATGTCCACTAATTGGATACCAAATCAACTCCTCTTTCCATAGTCATGAGTATATATATATATATTGATGCATTAATTTACTGATGTTTACGTAATTATAAGGATCTATGAAATGATAGATTATGAAAAGAAATTTATAATTAAGTGACCAAGATAAATTTTGTAGAGACTACGTGTTATACATATAAATGAAGGTTTTAGTAGATATGCTTAAGTAAGTAAAAAGCTAAGAAGAATATGTACCATTTCATCTCTCCCCAATGAGCCATATAAACCATTCGAATGTCGCATTCGCCAATCTCTATATACTTTTCAATCTTTTTGCTACGATTGGTGTTTTATAGATTGTCCAAACCAATCAGGGGAAGAGAAAAGAAAAGAGGATTCTTTTGCATCATCAACATTCCACTGCTGACCTGAAATTTTAATGAAAGGGGAAATCAAAAGTTAAGATCCTTGAAATTTTTGAGTTATTTTGTTAAGTCTTTATTCAACTTTTTAATCTTTTAGTAGCAACAAAGTAAGGTGGAATCTCTTTCATGTTTACACAAACATGTCAACTGGGAATATTCTTTTGTCTAACTTTTGACTATACTCATCCTTTTGTTTATTGTAACAACATTAAAAGGTTGGATTATCAAGGAGACATGTCATTAGCTGAAAGTTGTGAATTCAATTAAAAAACTTACAACGTACGTTTAGATTATATTAATCTAATGGTAAGCACTAAGTAGACTTTATTCTGCAAATTCTGGATTAGAAGAAATTAATAATTTTTTATCAGAAAGTAAAGTTATGTGCTTTGTCTTCAAAAGGAAATATTTCACTTGCTGAGATTACTCCTCATAAAAACTATGGTGTGAGGAATTTTTTTTCTTTTCATATTTTAAGTTGCTAAGTCAAAATATTATGCTGAACAAAAAAAAAAATAGAGTCAAACGATTAGAATAACTGTCTAAAAACGGTTGAATTTACATTTTTCTTAAATAAAAAAGTGAACACTTTTTCTTTAACCTCAAAGTAATGAACTAAGATAACGAAATTTCTAGGCGTTTTTAAAAAAGTACTAAATTTAGACCCGTGTTGTGCACGGGGAGTTTTTTTTATAAAAATTTCAAGTTTGGAGAGCATATACAATTTAAATTTTTATTTGCTTGTATGATAATAGTTAGGTCATAAGAACAATTTTATATATCTGTTGCATTACTTGAATGTATATTAACTTGGTATGGTTTTGGTTATTTATAATTAAGGATGATATTATTTAAATTTTCAATGTTGTCTACATAATATATACGTATATAGTATTAGACGAATATATATACATATATATCCCACAATAAGCAAACATCTATAGAGAATAATGAAAGTAATCTTTCTTATTAATAAATCCTGAATTTGACATAAGTTCATAGAATTAAAACGTTGACTACTTCATTTGGTCACCTTTGTAGCTAAACGACATGAATAGTTGAACCTCCACTCATAACTAATAGGTGAATATGATATATGAGATTAGTCTTTAATCTCAATGTCATTGTTCTCCGTCTTATTGGATTTGAAGTACCTATATAATTATATACAGATATGTTATTACTGGCATTTAGAAAAATATCAAATATTTATATAGTAATTACCTATCTTTGAACTTGTCAACTTCGACAATATGGGTATCAAAAAGAAACCTTGAGGACTTTTCCAATATCACAGGTTCACGTTCATGATCATAATCATCTGTTATAGTATCAGTTCCATGAGGACTTTAGTTAAACTTAATCTCTTTCATTAAACGTTTTCTGTTATGTCTGGCATTTTGCTGTCTCTCGAACAAAGATTTAGATAGTTGATTATGTCTTTCTCTAGCAATGATTTTGTCAACAGAAGAGTTCCACCACATAATGACTTAGATTCAGAGTTAAGATTACATTAATATGTATTCAAGGATAATAAAAATTAAAACTAAGGGAAAAAAATGAATTACTAATTAAGATAAAGATACATGACTTCTCTATTCCATCAACTGTGTCTGAGCTTGCTGTATTCTTGTTTGATTTCTCTGGTGAAAACATATAACCAAAAAATATTGAATCAAAATAAATGTTATATATTAAATCAGATACATCTTTTAGATATAAATACAAATCAGTAATCTTACTTGGACCATTGTGTACTGGTTTAGGAAGACCGGAATGTTGCGGTTGTCAAGCAGGAGTTGTTCGAGACTTACTTAAAACAGATGGTGTCGTCGCATAGGTTGTATTTGAGGTTGTACATTCAGATACATTAGTATCATTTGATGAAAGGATACCATCTGATAATACAATTCAAAAACAAAAAATGAGTTAATAATTTTTATAGATAAAATGTTATCAATTCATTCTACTATTAATAAATGGAATTATTCTTACTTGGCTGTAAAGGTACAGATTTAGCAAAACCAGAATCTAGCCTCCGTGAATTAGGATTTCTTCGAGCTTTGCTAACAACAGATGGGCGTGTTGCATACGTAATATTAGAGGTAGTGGTTTCATTTCTATTAGTATCACTTGATGATTGGATAACACCAGTACCATGAATAACGTTGCTTGCTAGGTTTAGATCAGGAATTGTTGTATTACGTTTTGCAATTTTAAGCCGTGAAAATTGAGTTTCAGATATGATGTTACCAAACCTAATGCCTGAAAATATTATATATGTTAGCATTGAATGTATAAACATAAGCTTACTATATAAAAGCAAGAAATGAAAAATGATATAGGTAACCCGTTTCGTCAAAAGATGGTTAGCATTGCAAAGGTCTCTTTATAGGTGGCATGTTTTCTTTTAATGAACTTGGTAATGCTATATGAAGACACACAATATCATAACATATAACATATAAGATAGTTCATAAAACGATTTTTTAAATAAAACATAGTTCACATACACTGTTGAGTTTTAGGTGTGTTTGGCCGTATAGAGAAACAACCAGAGTTGCTGACATCTCTAAGAATTTCATCTATGTATATAAACAAAAAAAACAACACAATTTAATAATATTTCGAAGTATAAAACTATTGAGTAAAGCAAATAATAAATAAAAACTCACTTGAAGTAGATCTGTCAGATGTAATCCGAGATGAACTCTTCACCAAATCGTTTGAATTGCTTAAATCTTTAAATATCATATCAAATGCACCAGAAATAGGCTTTGTGGATTGTGTTTGGATGGTAGATGTTGTCTTCTGTTTTTTTTTTGAATTCTGTTTTCATCATTTTCGTATCCATAAGGATTTTTTGTAACTATGCAGTGCATAAGAAAGTGAACATAAGTGTAAATAGAGGTAAACGTGAACACAAAGAATGTTATGAAGCGGAAAACTTTATTTATATGAATGAATGGTTGTTTGTTCGAAAATTCAAACTAAATGTGATCCCTTATGAATAGAAAAACAAATATTCTACATTTAAATTCATATATCTAAATCCACAAATATAGATCGTAAATATAGAGAAAGAATCAATTTAGTTACAAATTGCCAAACTTAAAAGGATAATTATAGTTAAATAAAGTAATTAATATGGTTAAAAGATATAAGTTATAATACATTATTCATTTACTGTTAATTGATGGACTTTGTTTTCGGTTAGTAGCTATACGGATCTTTGGATATATAGATTCGTATAAGTATATTTAATTTCTTCCAAATGTTTAAAATAAATTTTATAAATAAATAAAGAGTAATACACTAAAATTGATTATAAGCTAATTATGTTTGAGTACTATTTAATATATCAATGATTTCATTTGAATGATGATCATAAGATTTCAAAGACAAATTATAAAATTACTAAAACGATATACAGAGTAAAACAAAAAAAAAACTAATGGTGTGAAAAATTGAACAACATCATAATATTGATAAAAAATAACCATTCGATTACAAAAAAATCATCCAAAAGCAAAGTAGAATAAAAAACCATGATAAAAGAAACAATTATTCAGACGATTAAAACATAACAAAATAGTTAAAATAACAAATAATGGTTCTTAAATCATGGCTTCTCTGTCTTCACGGTCTTAAGGGGCAGAGTACTTGAATTAGTCTCAACTATTTTCTCATCCTTACACTTCTTCTTTGCAGCCGAATACTGATAATACCGTATTTTGACCACTTTTATGGATCGTTTTGAAATACTTTTTCTATGTTTTTAATTGCTTTTAAGTACTTTTATTATGTTTTTCTAGTATTTGTAGTTCCAAGACTCTTTTCAGATAACTTAAGGAAAAGCTTAACAAAATAGATAGAATATCAGATTTCAGCTCAGAGTCAAACCGTCAGAAGTTCATCCCCGATTGAAAGCCTTCTCACCGTCTGATCCAGCTCAAATTTGGAGATCTTAAAGATGGAAGTATTAGCTTTCCAGCACACTTTACAGCTTGACAATCCAAAGGTTCAATCAAAAGATACGCAAAGAGCAAGATGTCTCGTAAACCAGCCGGCAAGCGTTTCCACCTGCGGCCAACAGGTCATTTCCCGCGGTCACAACCATCCCGACCGCGGCCAGCTAACTTCGACTTTGAAGGCCCATTTCTGAAGCCCGTATTATTTTCCCAGCCTCAATTCCGGAACCCTAGACACCAGAGAGTATCGGAGACTATAAATACATGTCAATTAGGTCGTTTTTAAGAAGAGAAGAGGAGAGACGAAATACTTTACAGAAATTTTACTTTAAGCTTTGTTTTTAGGTTTTAGGGAGAGAGAGATCTGTCTCTTGAACCCTTGTTCTTTCTTTTCAATTTCGATTTTCTATTCTACCTTTTAATACTATGTTTTTAATTTTGTTTATTATGTCTGAATAGTTTTTAAGGGATTTTCGATGGGGATATATATGTTCGGTGAGGATTCCATTGGCTATTGAGCCGAATCTTAGAACTTTTTCTTCTGAATTCGTTTTTACTGCATGAGAGTAGCGTCATGAATTACAATCTGATCAAGATGCTTGGTAACACGAAAGTGTTCATCTGGTGTCAGGTCTAGTTTGGGAGAGCAAAACAAACATAGGAGTGGAAACCTACCTATGAGCGATTTGTGAATGCTGACGAGTCTTAAACATAATGCACCTCTTCTTTTCCAGGGCCAGAGTGGAAACCTACTGGTCAGGGTTAAGAGAGATAGTTGTCTATGATCACGACAATGGCGTATTCATACGTCCGTGACTCCAGTTCGAAAAGTTTAAGCTAAGATCTTATCAAATTTACTCTCTAGCAATGTTTTGAATCGTTCATACCCCTGAGAAAACTTCCCTGAACCCCATCGCCTCTTTTTTTTTAATAGATTTACACTGTTTTCATTCAAGCTTTAGTCTAGTTTCTTTACTTTTTCAATCGATTTTCACTTAGCAATTAGGTCTAGCCGTTTTTCTCGTTTTTACCCGTTTTCGTTAAGTTTAGTTATTAGGTCATTTTAATTCCCGTATTTTCTCTTTAAGATTCGTTTTTACATTTTAAACACACCACCAAAATCCTCACAAAACTCGCCTGGTTCTAGACTTCCTTACTTTATATTTCTTTCGAATGCTTTTGCAGGAAAGATCCTTCTTCCCTGTGGATTCGATCCCTAAGTACTACAATCGATCAGATGTGCACTTGCGGCTATTGATTTCATTTAGGGTAAAACTTGACACCCTCAACACGAAGCACATCAAATACTCATCAGTATCCTTAATCACTTCCATCTTTTCATTGTTTTTGCGCTTAGGAGTAGGTGTAATTTCAGCATCATCATCATCCATAATCATTATAGGAACCTATAACATATTAATTAATCTGTAAGAATGAAAGTATTATATAATAGTACACATGAATGTAAGAAAACAGAATACATAAATATACCTTTCCATCAAGAGTATTGTGAGCTTTTTCCTCTATCTTGATACTTGGAGTGCTCTACGAAAAGTGAAAGTTATGAATTGTAAAAAATAAAGAATTAGTGTATAAATAATATTGATAACAAAATGATATAACTTTACCTGAGGAGTAGAGATTTCAGAAAACTCCTTAACCACATAACTTTGTGTAATTATATTGATGACCTTGTATGTGTCACTATTGAAAACAATATTTGAACCTGCATTTGCAATCTTGAAAAGAAACGTTTTACCAAAAATATTGCTCAAAGCCAAGGGCAAGACATCTGGATCCTGAATCTAAACAAAGAGGAATTTAATAAAATTTAAATAGATCAAGCCAGAAACGGTCATGGACAAATGCAGTAGAAATATGAACCTCATTAACAGACTGAGTTAACTGAGCAGCAGTTTGGTTGACAACTTCCTTTGCCTCTTGATCAAATAAGAGGAATTTGGTTTCACCAGTATTATCCATGACACGAAAAGTCAACATGAACCTATCATAATTTGAAATAGGATAAGTTAAACTTTATTAGAAGTGAAAACTTTACTATAGCACAAATACAATAACAGACTTACGATAGATAAACATTCTCAACATCCTCATTGCATTTTTTGCACTGCCACAATTGTTTCTTAAATGTTTTCCCAGGATATAGTTCTTTTAAGTAATCTATATCATGAGGGAGAAATTTTTTAGCACAAGCTCCACATGACATGTAATACCAGCCAAACTCAGTGTCTATAAACATAATTGTGGCTATGGTAACACATTTGACAACCTTTGAAAGTGCATAATGATATTAGAATCAAATTTAGGTTATATTAATCGAACTGACAGAATATATAATTACCTCTGAAGCAGCAATTATCTCGCTAATAGTCCTTCGAGGACTATGCAAGAAGAAATCGTCCCTTACTGTTACTGATACATAATTGACAATACTCAACTGATTTGGATGGGTATAGGTCAGGTTTAAACCATCTTTTGGCAATCTGTATAGATTATATTACATAGTTATCAGAATACAAAACTTGAGAAATGAATAAAAACATGGAGATAAGTAGTTTTACCTCTCTTTAAAAGCCAAACTCTCTGGGAACACTGGATCAGTAATGACCATCGAACAGCTGTAGCAATTGCCAACACTCCAAATACCTTGACAAAGTTTTAACTTTCCAAAACGCAAAACAGCAACGATCACAGCATCATTGGCATGTTGAGCCACACTTTCAAGATTTTCAGAATTGTCCCCAAAGAACACAATTAAGTTGAACATCTCTACATTGAATATAATAAGTAAATTGATGAAAAAGGATACTAAACAAAAATAGTAAAGATATAGAGCATTAGTGATAAATTAGTAATGTAAATGCTAACTCTGTATCATGGATCTCCATAGAAAGCCACTTTGTCTGTCTCTTTCCAACATTCAAGATCTCTACATCCCCAATGCTCACAATTTTTCCAATAGCATATGAGGTAAAAAAAATCATGTTAGTAATCTAGAATAACGCACACAAACTATATATTCAATATATGATTTAGTAATTAAAAAAATTGCCTATCAAGAAATCTGGATTCATTTTGCCTTCGTGAATATCACTAAACTTGACGAACTTGAAACCTAAGATTCTTGGATCCATTTCTTCTGCCGGTTTGACAGATGTTGTTGATGCTAAAAGGATTTTGTAAACGTGAGGGCTTGTCCTGAACTTATCACCATTATGAACCACTTGAAAATTTGTGATAATTCTAGAGGCACCTTCCTCTAAGAGATTTCCATTTTTCTTGATGAACTCCTTCTTCAAAGTTACATGCATGGTTTGATTCTGTGTATATATAAATATGAATGCTTTAAAGATACATAGGTTTGTATGAAAGTAAAAAACAAATGACAGTGGTAAAATATATAGATTAGTATAAATGCTTAAAATTAACATAGATAGTATACCTTCTCATCAACAACAACCATTTCCAACGTCTCTACACCATTCAAGTACTGTTTCCACACCTTCAATATCTTCACATAAACTCTCCATTGAGTTTTGAAGGGCTTCACGGAGTATAGATCGGTGAAAGAAGACACAATAACAGGATGAGAATTTGAGATTCAGAAATGTATTGAAAGGTGAGGGATGAGGAAATATTGGAGAAACGTACATCTATATATATATATATATACGGTATTAAGAGAAGATCGTATTGGTAGGTTAAATATTTCAAATTTAGAACTTTCTTCTTGTTAATCTAATCCAAGGATCTCGGATATTATTCGTTTAGGAATAAATATATATCTTCCGCAATTTGAGTTACTCATATGGATCTTTATTTAGTTGTTTAAAAATTTGCCAAAGGAAAGTATGGGGGTGCTTGGTGTAGACTATAGAGGCTGTTGAACCCATTTCACAGTTTTAAAATTCTTTTTTTTACCAATCAAACTTTTAAAAAAATTTTAAATTTAAAATCCTAACAGCCAGGCTTTTTATTTTTAGTCATTGATTCTAAAAGTTACGTAAGAGGAGCTTTTATACTAAAAACTAATAAAAATAAATATATTTAATTTCTTTTTCTATTTATTCTTTCCCCAGAATCATTCAAAAGATTTTATATATTTATATATAAATAATTAAAAACTAAATTTAATTGATTAAATCTTATTTATTTTTAGGTTTTGTTTGATATCCATTTTTCTATAAAAAAAAATTCAATTTTTTATTTTTTGTATTAATTACTTATGCTAATATAAGTATTTTAATAATTTATTAATGTTATCAACAAATTTTAAAAATTATATGTTTGATTAATGAAAATTTTAATTTAATTTAAATTTAATAGTTAATTTCTACAGTTTTTACTGTAAAAGATTTTAAAGCTAAAAGTCTACAGTAAAAGCTAAAAGTAAAGGTGATTACCAAGCAAGCCCTAAATATGTTTAGAAAATATAGGGTTTAGGTTTTCAATGTAGAATATGTGAAAATATAGATACTTATTTAGTCCGTTTGAAGTTCAAATTATTGTTATTAGTTGTTGATTAAATTCCTCAAGGAAAATATCTATGTTTCGAAAATATGGGAACAATGTTTTCAATGTGGAGATATGCGAAGATATAGGTACTTTCTTAATCCGTTTGAAGTTTAAGTTATTGTTATTAGTTGTTTAGAAAATTGCTCTATGAAAATATATATGTTTCGAAAATATAGGAACAAAAAAATTCAATATAGAATATGCGAAAATATAGGTATTTTCTTTATGCATTTCAAGTTTAAATTATTGTTTAGATTTTTCATACTGAAGAATTTTTTTAAAAATGATATTAAAGTAATACGTTTTAAATTTTGGAATTGTTGATGCTTATAAACAAATTAGCTAAATGATTAACTAATATAGGAATGCTTATACGATTGTGAATAATGTATAATGTAATGTAGAAATAATGTATAACGTGAATTATGAATAACGTAATCTCCTTAATAATATTATTTTGCAAATGTTTATTGTAAAATTATGTTCATTCAACTTGTATAAATAATAATTAATAAGAGAATATATACATAATACGAAAATAATAATTTTTCCAAAATGATTAGAAGAGAATTAATGTTTGATAAAATTATAGATTGAAATATACAGTTAATAATAAAATATATGAAAAACGTGTATTTGAAAAATTTATTGCAGTTAAATGTGTTTTACGAAATAACATTCTGTTTGGCTATAGTTATAGTAAAAGAATTAAAATTAAATGAATTAATAATATAGCTAATTTTAATCCTGTCAAGTGTCCAATAGTTCAATAGCGCTTCCACGAGATAGAAAATAGATTCCGTTAGATTAATTTCAAATCATGTTTGCGGAAACTATCAGCTGAAAACGGGCCGGGCCTATTCAGCCCAGAATTAATCTAAAAAAAATAAAAATAGGTCATCTAATTCTCAGCTTAGTAAACAAGACAAGAACCTTCACATCATGTACAAACAAACAAACAGCAGTAAACCCAATTTGCAAGGGTCAACGAAATCAAATAGTGTACATATGCATTTTGCAATTTGTTTAGTAAACCTAATACGTGACCAAATTATTACAACAAACAGTGGAATGTTAACAGAGAAATTGCTCTAAAGCTAACATGGAAAAATAAGGGTTTTTAGAAACGCAGAGTCTAAAAATGTATTTTTCAATGTTGTTGTTCTTCTTCTGCTTTTTCAAAGCTTTCGTTGAGGGATTTAGATACATCAGGCGTTGTTGTTTCCTCTTCTTCTTCCTCTTCTTCTTCATTATTGACTTCAGGAAAAGGGGATGAGAAATCTAAGCATAAACCTTGAACGACTTGTTCATAAGAAGGGGAGAGATCTTGAGATGTGATCTGATGGTACTCCACCAACTGGTGAAGACACTGATTTTCTCTAACCAAATTCGCGTTTTCGTTCGCTAATCTAGCTTTCTCCGTAAGCAATACCTCTAATTGTAGCCTCACCTGTTTCATAGAATCAGAGTAAAACCACAAAGCCAAAAAACATAGCATAAAAAGAGCAGAAACAGAACAGTATTGGTAATTTGTACAGACCAGATCATCTTCTTCAGGTCTAACACCTTTCACAAACCCATCTCTGAGTCTTTTGTTCTCTTCTTCAAGCAATCCACAACGCTCCTGGATGAAACTCAGGTCGGATTTTATTGATTTAAGCTCTCTTGCAAGCGAATTCGCTTTCGCCGCCATGGATATCGCAATCTGCAAGAACAAAAAAGATTTGAGTTTTCTTATCAAAGAAGGAAAAAAACAGAGAGACATAAAGACTGAGACTTTACGTTTTTAGCCCTCTTCATGATTTTCCTCTCTTTTGGTCTCTTCTCATCTTCTTCATTCGACGAATCTTCTTTTTGCTCAACATCAGACTCGTGTTTCCTCTTCTTTCCTTTATTCTCGTCTTCATCTTCTTCTTCTTCTTCTTCTTTTTGTTGCCGTTGCATCTGATCAGCTTTGAGATTCGAGTGGAGTATCTCAGATAATGTAGGTGGTTTAGCTAATTCTCTAACTCCCTGATTTTAGAGAAACAATCTGTATCATGAAATATAGGTAAAATGAACAACCCTAATTTCAGGTCAGATAATGGATTTTAATTTTACCTGAAGAGCATTGTCGAGATTACTAGAAAGCTGAGACAGAGTATGAGAAACAGAATCAAATCCTTTAAGCAAAAGCATCGAATCATTTCTCAATCTCTTTGCTCTCTCTGTTTCTCCAACAATCGTTTGAGCTATCAATGGAGAATTGGCAATGGGTTTGTGATCTTTGCTCTTTTCTTCAAGAAGAACATCTATCCTGTTACGCAGGTTGCTCCAGAGACGCTTGTCTGAAGATGGACTAAGCGATGGAGAAGATTCTATCGATGTTGCAGAAACCATGATCAAGCTAGCTCCTTTCTATTAAAGAAAAAAAGAGAAGAATTTCATGAAATTTAGAATTCTGAGTCATACCGAATTGAATTTTCATAGCAGAAGAAGAAAAACCCATGATTTCTTTTGATCGGAAGAAGAACTTACCTTGTTAGTATGATTAGGTGATGGAGTTTCAACAGAAGCAGCCATTAATGGAGGTATAGAGAAAGAGGTTTAGAGAGAGATGTAACGGCTAGATTATTCAAGATGGGAGATCGTCAAAGTAGAGAATTTTTAAATAAAGATCTCGAAAGTCGGCCCAACGTTCTGATTTCTAAATCCTTAATAAAGTTGTTTTTATCCTTTTATTTTTAAATCATTTAATGGACAGAGACAAAAGTAGATCTAAAAGTGGGACTTGGTCGAGTACTTTTCACTGCACTTAACAAGTATCTATCTACAGTTTCTTCTGGAGTTAGATTGGTAGGTCCCACTTTTGAGTCCAACGGTTGTTTCTCAACTCTATAATTTCCTCCTAGTTTACCACAAAAAAAAGGGAAACAACCCAAAAAAGGAAATTTGAACAAAAAATCTAGAGATGTTATAGGTTTTTTTTTTTTTTCCTACAACCCAACTATTACATCACATTTTGTCCGTTAAATAATTGGTCCGAAAACCGTCTTCAACTGGCTCGGTATGAATGATTTGAGAGAAAATATAGCTTCTTGCTCGAACTTCTTTTGCAAGACTATCCGCTCGGACATTTGAACTTCTGGGAATATGGGAGAGAGTGAAATCCAAAAAAATTTCGCGAAGGTTGCGGAAGGCTTCTAACTCTGATAAGAATGATGGCCAATCTGATGGCGATTCAGACATGCTAATCAGATCCGAACAATCGGTTTGAAAGTGTACAGATAAAATTTGTCTATCTTTCATGCAAGACATAGCCCATAATAGGCTCTCCAATTCGGCATGAAGGACCGATAAGCTTCTACGACAGCCTTGAAGGCCAAAAGTCTCGCTACCTCTTTCCTCCTTCAGACTCCACCCGAACCCACTAACCAGGCAGATGCCTATCCAGAATGCATCAACCTGACAAATTGGGAACCTCGGGGTATCGGGTAGAGGATTCAGAAGCAAAGGAGTGAGCGGAGCCTCGTTTGATCCGTCTTCTTCTTCTTCCGGTTGGTTTGCAATCTCCCAACTTTCGGCTTCAACCTTGACGTGGATCAAAGTATCTACCGAGGAAATTTCTTTCCCGTTGAAGATCTTGTCGTTCTTCGCTTTCCAAATATACCACATGATCCAAGGATAAATATCCTTTTGAGGATCTGTCATGCCTAACTCTTTTGTTTTCCAAAAGAGAAAACTCATATTTTGGTAAATAGAGATACTCGGGAAGACACCCGGAAGGGAGATGTCATAGGTTTAGATGTCAAGCTTTATTTGTTTAGTACAAGGAATTTGTATTTAGTCTAAAAAAATTGTATACTATGATTCTTCGAGATAGAAAAGAAAGTGAAAGTTTTGTGTCTTCAAGCAAACTAAATGTGTTTTTATTTTCCTAAATTGCTAGTATAAAACCTACTGAGACCAATGAGATGATAGAATAACCTGCATATATCTCTTATCTTTTTTTTTGCCTTTGAGGTAAATTTTGTAATCTCTCAAGGTCTGTTTATGCATGCAGATCTCTCAAAATTAGTCGTGATGTACTTGTCCGCCCATCTGGATCTGATACTACTAACTTCTGCTTCCCGAAAATTATCTTAAACCGCTAATTCTATTATCATGGTTATTTTCGGTATTGCCATGATAACCAATTTAAATTTTATCATTTTTAGTATTATTTTCTTTTTATCTATCTTGTATAGTCTACACTTTGCTAATAGTGTTGAAAGTTGATGAAAAACAGACACTAGAAGTAGGGATATGATTTTCATAGACAGGAAAGAACTAGGAACAGGAAAATCATCTCAATACAATCTCATCATGCCCTCTTATTTTTAACACTAGATTTTGCGTCCACGCTACGCATGGATATTTTGTTGATTAAAATTATATATTATCAATTATATTTGTTAATATATACATTTTATATATTAATATTTTAATAATCTATTAAAATTATGGTCTTAATATAATAATTTTTATCATTTGCTGGTTTTAATGGTTTCGGTTTGAATCTATATACAGTATGTCATATTTCAAAAACCTATTATTTAGTCAAACAATTATAAGTTAATATATCCAAACCAACTAAAATTTTTTACAAATTAATCAAATGCTACTTTTTAGACATAGTATTGAGTGATGGTAAAATATTATACATTCACTTTTTTAAATCATGAAAATAATTAATTTCTTCAATGTTCCTTTTATTCTAATTATATATGTGTTCTTTAAAAACAATAAAATTTAAAATCTAATCTTTTTATTTTCTTGTTTAACCAGTCCAAATTTTTTTTTGGATTTAGGAATTTAAAAAACAATCGAATAAATAGAACATCTTCTTTGAGATTAATAACAACTTTAAATTGGAAACCCAAATAATAGTTGAATAGAAAATAAATAAAATCACAAAAAATTTGTGAATTAAAAATATTTTGTCAATTGGTTTTTTAAACTTTTTAAATAATTTTTCAATGATTCTACATCATCTCTTCTAATAAGAATGAAATTTGTTATCATCATGTTCATTTTTATTCTTGTTATATCCTTTTTTTTCAATGAATATATCATATTATTTATTTTAATTATTTTAGTATGAATATATTCAGTTTCATAATATTCATTCTTATTTCTTTTAATTATAATTAAGTAGAAAAAGTTGGTACATTTTAATACATACATATTTAGAAAATAAAATAACAAACTGAACAACTCAAAACTAATAAATTCTACATTAATTTATTGCAATTCCAAGTTGAATGTACATAATGTAACTTTTTTGATCAATTTAACATAATATATTACATGAGATTATATGAAAATATGTTTTGCATATGCGAAAAATATAGATGAATATAAATCATAATTATTATTTATTTAAAATTCTACGTGAAAAACCTTAAAATCAAGTAACTTAAACTTTTATAAGTAGCATATTTTTTTTTAGATAAGAAATTAAATTTATAACTTAAACAGTGATAATAGAGATTTTAATACCATGTTGATTTCTTTTTCTTGTTAATAGAGATTTGTTTAGTTTTTAATTTATTTCCTCAACCGTAATATTAGAATTAAGAAACTTTTTTAATTTATTAAAATGAAATAACAAATTGAACAACTCAAAACCAAAAAATTCTACATTAATCTATTACAATTCCAAGGCGAATATAAACAATGTAATTTTTTTGATCATTTTTACATTATATATTACATGAGATTATATGGAAATATGTTTTGCATATGTGAAAAAAAAATTAAATTAATATAAATCATAATTATTAGTTATTTAAATTTATACGTGAAAAGCTTTAAAATCAAGTAACCTTTTTTTCACTACAAAATCAAGTAACCTAAACTTGTATAAGTAGCATATATTTTTGTAGATAATAAATTAAATTTGTAACTTAAACAGTGATAATGAATATTTTAATATCATGGTATTTTTTTGTTAATAGAGATTTTTTTATTCTTTAAAAAATATTTTCTTAACCATAATAATAAAATTAGGAAAATTTTATAAATTTACAATTTTGATATATACGAATAAAATTTAATTTTTAAATGCTGATGTGGAAACCTTGAAAAAAAGAGAGTTTAACTTTTATTAATAATACAATAATTTTAATTAACAATTTTTTCCTATATTGTTTTGTAATAACAATGTAATTTTATAATTTAGAAACTTTTTTAATTTTAGTCTTTGATGTACACTAATAAAATTGACATTTAAAATCTTATGTGGATTTCCTTAGCATATATAGCTTCAATTTTTATTTTTCTATAAATATATATTTTTATTAATAATATATTTGAAATTTGGGAATTTTTTTTTAATTTAAATATTGATGTGGATCAATAAAATTGAACTTTTAAAATCATATGTGGACATTCTTAGAGACATATAGCTTTAACTTTTTTAATAATAGATTTAGAAATCAAAGCTGAAAGATCTCACACAAAGCAAGTGATTTTGATATTTCCTTCTTGTTTTGAGGCTTACCGAATGTATTCAGCTGCTGCTTGGTCAACTAATTATTTCTTTTGTGTTTAAGGTTAGGTTGTTAAACCCCATCAGATGTCATGTTATTTCAAAAATCTTCCTCGGATACATCAGTCTCCTTCGTCTTTATGACGTAACCTCTTTTTCTATTTTCAGTGCTTCGTTTTTAAAAAGTGTCAAGTATCAATCATTTGACATGTTTCTCGGATTGCTTGAAATTTATCATTCTTCTTTAATTCGGTGGCTAAGCTTTGAAGATTTTACGCTCTCTTTTTCAATATTAAAGCGGCTTGTAATGGCTTTGTTGGTTTAATATAATTTAGTCATGTTGGTTCTTTTACATTGTAATGACTCATTTTTTTTATTGAAATCTAACTCTATATTTTTTTTTTTAATTTGAAATGGTTGTACACACAGAAAAAAAAACTTAAAACCAATATAGTTATGTGACAAAAAATTGAATGCTAATGTAAGAGTCTCTAAATATGTGTGTATACATCTAATTTAAATTTAAAATTTCTATTTTAATATTATTTATTTTAGTTTTTATTATTAATATAAATTTTATATATAATTTATTTATCTTTAATAATTTTTTTTAAAAAAAATAGAATTTAAAACTTTTTAATTTTAAAATGTTGATGTGGACCAATAAAAAATTTATACATAATTTCTTTATTCAACAATTATATTAGAATTTGTAAAGTTTCTTCATTTTTATATTCAGAAATAATATTAAGAATTTGTAAACTTTCTTTGATTTTGAATATTGATGTGGACCAATAAGATTACTTTTTAAATTTAAATGTTGATGTGGACCAGTAAAAAATTTATACATAATTTCTGCAACAATAATATTAGAATTTGTAAAGTTTCTTAATTTTTTTATTCAACAATAATATTAAAAATTTGTAAATTTTCTTTAATTTTGAATGTTGATGTGGACCAATAAGAATACCTTTTTAAATCTTATGTGGACGCCTTGAGAAGCTTATTTTGTATTCACGCTACGCGTGGATATTTTATTGATAAAAATGATATACAATTAATTATATTTATTAAGATATTAATTTTATATATTAAGATTTTAATAATATA